GCCCAGCCGCTCCTCGGCATGTGGGATCTTCCCGGACCGGGGCACGAACCCGCGTCCCCTGCATCGGCAGGCGGACTCTCAACCACTGCGCCACAAGGGTAGCCCCCCCAAAGTGTATTTTAATTTTAACTAGTCACAATTAGAAAAGATAAGGATGTGAATATGTGGATGAACGTTCAGCATCCCCACTTTTTAAAATGAGAAACTAATGCTACTCTAGTTATGCAAAATCTAGTGTGAGGTTTCTTTTCTTAGGTATGATTTTTTAAGTGAATTTTAACGTTTATCTTTTTAAACTCATGACTTGTGTTTACACTACAAAACAAATTTTATATTTTTTTTGGTTTCTGCACCCTCCAGTACCTACAGTTGTGACATGGTTTGAAAAGGTCAGAGGAAGTTATTGTAAAACAGGAAGCTGCCCTAGTGCACTGGGAGAACTTGAGAAAATTTTAATAATAGAAAATAGTTTATTCAGTGCATTGTGCTTCCTGTACCAGATTCTAGAGAGTCTCCCTTAGCTTAGAAAATAATTGATTTTTGACCACAATGAGACAGAGACAGAGCACAGATCCCTTTCAGGTTGATGGGGCTTGAGTTCTCTTGAGAAAGTCCCTCAGTGGAGGGTAACTCTGAGTCCAACCATTGCTGTGCCATCAGCCTCACCCTGTGGCCGTGTGTGTAATGCGCTGATCTGCCACTCTTGGAGTTCTTCGGTTTGGTTAAAAACTTAGCACTCATGCCCACATCATCGTCCAGCAACCACCGATTCGAAGTTGGTGTCAGCCCCTGGTGGTGGACATTTACGCTCACCCTGAACTTAACTTCATCACAGTCACTCGTGCAGTCTTATTTTATCACAGGAGTGATTTTTGGACCTGGAGAGCACACCCTAGTTTGGCTTTTAGCCTTTGATCTTCTTTACCCCAAGCTTCTTCACTCTCTCTGGTGCAGAAGCCCACTGGTTCCCAGGGGCCAAGCAGCTGCATGTTTGTTGCACTATGTCTCTCGCTCCTTCTATTTGCATGGTGTGTATGGTGTGTGTCTGTATCAGTCTGCTTCTGTTCACTTTCTCATTTGTAGAGAACCCTGAAAACCACTCTGAAACACCGGCAGCTCCTGCTCTACCTCTTCCAGCTCTTCCTAAACCTACACCCAAACCTAAGCCCCAAAAAACACCTGTGCCTCCAAAAGGGGCCGCTGCTGGGGCCAGCCCCAAGGGTGACGAAGTACCTCCTATTAAAACAATTACCAAGGCTCCTGGTAAGCAGGCCCCCGTCCCTCCACCCAAGCCAACAAGCCGAAATGCAACCCGAGAGGCTGGTGAGTATGCCCTCTGTGGGGTTGAGTCTAGGGTGCTTGGCGCTGGGGTGGGGCTAATTTCCTCTTCTAGGAATGATGGCCTTTTGGTGTCTGCTCTCTTAGGATGTAACACCAGTGGACTCAGCTTTGACACAGAGAATGCCCAGGAGATTCCTTTGTTGCTGTCTCTACCAAAGAAAAGTCAACCACTTGATCCATTCACCTCATTAGGTTTAGGGTGAATAGACGTCTTTCATCCTGAGTATCTGCACAAAACCCAGTAGAAGGAAACAGGGAGTCGTCTGCCTGATGAATGGCGACGACGTGATCTGACGTTATTCAGACAGCAACTGGCCTGCCTGTTTGAGTTCATGGGTGGCTCTTTGGCTTGGGTTTTCTTTCAAAATATCTTAAGTTTGCACATAAAAACATGACGCTAAAAAAAAAAAACAAAAAAAAAACCATGACGCTTACCTCTTTGACATATTTGCTGGATCTTAATGTCTTAAATCTTATAGGCATCCCTCTACTGACAAATGACAAAGGGTTCATATCACTCAGTGCTTCATGCCACCACTCTCTACTGGAGTCACAACTGCGCAGCAGAGTTGGAAGTTACGTGCTCAGTGCCCCCTTCCCAACCTCATAGACTTCAGTGTGTTACATCTAGTGGAGCGATTACAAGCTGTGACTGCAAATCACCGGGGGATGTTTGGGTGATTACATCACTTCATGTCATGTGTGTCCAGCTTTCCTTTCACATCAGATATGCTTAATGCAAAGTGGAGCCCCCATTCTAGTGAAGTGGAATAAAGAAGCCTCTCCTGCCATCCAACCTTTGAAAGGATATATTCCAAATACACATGCTGAGCATCTTTTTCCCATTAACACATGCATAAAAATTCTCCTGTGTTATAGCAAACCTTACTTTCCTTAAAATCAGCAGCAGCTTTCTCAAAACCAGCTACCAGGATCTGCCTTGGTATTAATCTTTCCCCCTTGTAATTTAAACCCATAATGCTCAGATTCAGAGAGTGGCTTAGGTGACAGTATGACAGAACTCAGAATGCAAATAGATGTCTGTGTCCTGGTGTTCCTGTCTACCACCTTTGACCTTGGGTGTCTGGGTCTCATTTTCTAATAAGCTCTAAAATGAAAATCTCAGAATGCTTTGCCAACAGTGCCTACGGGCCATTTTCTCAGGGACCAGCTTCCATCACACATCAGTGTCTGTTCTCGTTGGTGTCTGTGTGTGTTTCCCAGACTTCCTAGCACACCTCAGGAGCAGTGCTTGAAGTGAGGCAGGTGCTGATTTACTTCCTGAAGTAAAGCCCCAAACTCTCACCCTGTCCTTGGGAGTGAGGACCCACTTCCCCACGCCCCACGTGGCAGCAGCTCACGGTTGACTCGGCTTGCCCTCTCTCTTACTTCTCTCGGAAGAAGGCTGGTGATTAACACCAGGGCAGGTGACAGCTTTCATGAGAGATTTGGAGTTATTTCCAGATATTTTACTTGAAGATTTTTTATAGACTTATGATGTTCCTAAGAGGAAAGTACAGTCATGTTATCCATTGTATTAAAAGAGGCCCAACTGGCGCTCAGTGTGAAAAAGGTTGCTGTTCTCAGGTTATCACAGAGAAACAGGAGTTGCCTTGAAGTCTACCAACAAGCCCAGCGTGCAAGGATCTTTTTTTTTTGTCAAATATTGATAATACTCCTTCAGAATCCTACTCACATTCCATTTGTAACCATTTAGAACCTTCTACATGGTAACTTTGTTTTATTTGAATAAAGTTGACCTTCTGGAAAAGATACTTCAAATGTCACTCCTGATTTTCAGTCAGACATTTAATCTCTTAAAAAAATTTATTGGTTCAGATTCTTCCTCTGTTACTAAGTTAGTGTAGACCTCCAGATCACCAGATATCAGGTTGGCACATTTGCTGGTGAAGTAACATCTCATATTTTTTTTCTTTCTCGTTACACCCTGTGTTAACAACACAAGTATTTAACTGAGGAGAGGTGGCATTTCTTTTTTAGTCATGGCTATAATTCAAGGTAACTTAAGCAACATTTCAGCAAAATCCTCATTTTAGACGACACTTAAAAGAGAAATATAGTAACATGGCTTGAATTTGCACTCTAGGCATAAAAAATTATTTCCTTAAGCAAGGCTGAAGTTAACTTTGCTGTTAGAAAAACAAAAAGACTTTTCTACAAGAAAATTATTAGAATTGATGTGTGGAAACGATTCTGTTCAATTTCCCCAAGAAATAACTGAACATGTTTAGACAGCAAGTCCCTAGCATCTTGGTTGTGAAAGGTACATTTGGAATGGACTTAGATTGTAAGAGTATGCTTAATACGTTTGTCCTATACGCAAATGAGGATTGTTTATTTCAAAGAAACATTGACAGGCCCTGATATGGGGGAGGGGAATTCTCATAATTACGGATATCTAAAATAATAAAGCCCCCAAGCCATGGAGACTTGTTTTAAGCCTGCATCTGTGTCACCAAGTGAGACTGCCTTTTTTTCAGTAGATCAGAGCTAGTGAAGTCATACACCTCATTGTCTATTCCTTTATCTGTTCTTCCTCTCCTGACCCTCCCAACTGACTTCGATAAAGTTATAACCAGAGGTAAGTTACAATAAATAACAGCTGTATGCAGTGTGGATTTTGGCTCCACAATACTAACAAGATTTTTCTAGTTCTTCTGTGGAAGATAGTTTGACCCCTCCGGAAAAAGAGGGAATATACAACATTGTAACAGAAAAAGCAATTAGGAGAAATGTATCGATCCTAAAGGTCATAGGAGTTTAAATGTATTTCCTGTGATGATGAAAAGGAGAGTTAACTTTTTTGTTTTGCCATAGCCATGGCCATCCTCTGATGAAGGCCCTCTAGGAGCATAAGCAGTTTTAGAAGCTCTGAAAATGATACTCTTTCCTTTCAGATTATTCAAACACTACCCATTTACACATTTTTTGTAAAAAAAGAAAAAAAGAAAAAAGACATTTTTCTGCCTCTTGATGTTTTGAAGGAGACTTGTCCTTCATATGTGGCCATGGGTTTTCCCTCTGCCCCGTTATCGCTGCAGTTGGGGAGATGGGGCAGGGTGGCAAGCCACTCTACAGCCATTGGGGAGAGCTGGTTTGGAGTTTGCTCTTTTAGCAGTTAAGATGAGTAAATTTGCTTGTGGCCAGACAGGAGCTGGTGGTATATACTCCAGCATCTTCTGAATGTGGGCCACTCCATTCCCAGAAAGGCATCATACAACATGTACAGTTTGTGATGAGAGTAACCTTGTACTATACCCAGACAGCTGCTGGTGTGTGCCCTCTACACGCTATAATGTCCCTTCTTTGGAACATACAGGGACTTTTTCAGGTGACCCATAGGGCAAGGAGGTGAGGATTTCCCTTTGGCTGTCTCAGCTAAAGACTGGAGGAGGGAGTAGACAGAGGACTCTTGACCCTCAGGGTTTGGCCTCAAGCGTCACTTGCTCCTCTGTTGGAGGCAAGGAGGGGGCAGAAAACAAGACCATTATTATCATTAGCCTATTTCCCTTTATGCATTTATTCAGACAGATTTGTAAACTTTAAAGGGAACATGGTCATTGACGATTGCAACTCGGTTAGTTTATTTAAAAAGTGTTCTCTTCTTTGACTCTTAATGCAAAATCTCTCTACTTTAGCTGGTTCCTCTCATTCAAGAAAAACAACTGGCTCCAAAGCAACAGCTTCACCGTCTACTTCCTCCACCTCATCTCGTCCTAAAGCTTCAAAGGAGACAGTTTCTAGCAAAACAGGGATGGTAGGAGTCACAAAGGGCAAGAAAAAAACTGGCAAGCAGCCAACGTCTCAACCGTCCTCAGATGCAACCACTTCTGGCATATCTGACCTTAAAGGAGAGCCTTCGGAGACCAGCGTGGCGAGTCTCAAACCCGAGCAGACTGCCCCTGGCACCGAGGAGCAGACCACAGGCAGACCCAAGTCCGCAGTCCCTCTGCCCGCTGTGGCTCCAGCACCTCTTCCCCCCACCCCTTCTCCCCCTCTGGAGGAGCAGAGCATTGCTGCCTCAGACACTCCTGTCGTCCTGGTTAGCAACGGAGCCGACCTGCCCGTCCCTGCCTTAGACCCAAGTCAGCTTCTCTGGACTGAAGAGGCGACAAACAGCACCACTGTCCACTCAGGCACTGGCTTAAGTGTTAGCAGAGAAAATGCAAAATGGTGAGTCGGCACAAAAACTCCATATTCTATCTGTATTCCTATGAAGCTGGGTACTAAAGGTCACTAAATCACTCTGCTGGCAATGAAGGAGCCTACTTTGGTTTCTTCTATAATGTAATCTAGTTAGGTAAGCACACCTGTTAGGTAATGTTAGGTAAGCACACCTGTAATCCAGCCGTTGATTTGGTTTTTTTAAATTGAAGTATAGTTGATTTCTAATGTTGTGTTAGTTTCAGGTGTACAGTGAAGTGATTCATGTATATGTGTGTGTGTATACATATTCTTTTTCAGATTCATTTCCATTATAAGTTATTACGAGATACTGAATATAGTTCCCTGTGCTATATAGTAGGTCTTTGTTGTTTATTTTATATATGGTAGTGTGTATCTTTTAATCCCAAACTCCTAATTTATTCCTCCCTCCCCCCTCTTTCTCCTTTGGTAACCATAAGTTTGTTTTCTATGTCTGTGAGTCAATTTCTGTTTTGTAAATAAGTTCATTTGTATCATTTTTTAGACTTCACATATAAATGATGTCATATGATATTTGTCTTTCTCTGACTTACTTCATTTAGTATGATAGTCTCTAGATCCATCCATGTTGCTGCAAATAGCATTATTTCATGCTTCTTTATGGCTGAGTAATATTCCGTTGTATGTATGTACCACATCTTCTTTATCCTTTCATCTGTTGATGGACATTTAGGCCGATTCCATGCCTTGGCTATTGTAAATAGTGCTGCAATGAACACTGGGGTGCGTGTGTCTTGATTTTTCATAGCCCTGCCCCAGGAATGCCACGGGCTGCTGGAGACGATTACATTGGCCTTACTGACTGATACACTTCAGATCTGTGCTTTCAAGGACATTTAGAGTCTGCCTCATCACTGCTTAGCAGTCCTTTTTCTTTTTCCTAGACAGTTTCCTCCTCTTCCCTTATAGTGGTTACTTACATCTTTACCACTTACGTCCAGATTGCTCACCCATTCCTGCCCACCTCCATTTCAACAAGTTATTTAGCCTTCTCCGAAAATAAAGAGCATCAGGAAAGAACTCTTTTCCAACTCCTTTTCCTCCAGCCTTAGAGCAGCTACCTTTCTTACTTCCTCAATTCCCTACCCAGCTCAAGTGTTATCTCCTCTGTGAAGCCTTTCAATATTCATCCAGACAGAATTGGTTATTGCATGTACTCTAACAGCACTTTTTTCCTACCTATGGGACAGAACTAACCACCATGTCTTACTTACCTCTGTATCCCCACCAACCAGTACAGAATCTGGTATGCTATAGGCATGCCATCATCCAGTTGCCCAAGCCAGAAACCTGGAATTCACCCTAGGGTCCTCATTCTCCCTTGTCCTCCAGATCTAATCACTCACAAAGTCCTATAAATTTTCTACTTAAAGATAAATAAGACATGTTAGCTCTGCTGTCCCATAGGTGTAAGAAAGAGGACTGTCAGAGTGTAGTAGATGTCACTACCAATTCTGTCTAGGGAAGGCTTGGAGCTCTTAAATCCAGCCTCGTCTGTTTCTAAGAATAAAACCCAAATTCACTCTTTACAATATTTAATTTAATATTTCCTCTTTCAAAAAAATCCTTGTCCTGTTATACTTTAAAAAATTAGTACATTAATTAAATTGATTTGGATCAAGAGACTAAAATATCACTTTTAATTATTCAATTGCTAGTGATATTACTCTCCATTTATTAAATACTTATTTAATGTCAGGAAGTGTCAGTTATTTAATTCACATAAGTCTCCCCTGAAATATCTCTGTTGAATAGATGAGAAAACTGATGCTGAGAGAGATAACATGGTTTGCCCAAGATCACCCAGGTAGTAAGTGGCGGAGTCAGGACGCAAGCCCAGAGCTGCACATCACACTCAGCGCTCTAAGGAATTTCATAAGTTTCCAAAGCACCTGCTTCTACTTCTTTTGCAATTTCTTTTGTGTTTGTTTCTCTCATTTTGAGTACCGTCATTCAAAGGAAAGACAAGGAAAGGTAAATAAATGTTAAAGTACAAATTATTTTATTTGACATTTTAATAAATGATTGGGGAAAAGAAGGTATTGAAATGAATGCTTATGGTGTCCTGAATACTTCCAGCACAGAGCAGGTGTCTTCACTTCATTATGAGTGTTTGCCAGCGTTGGCATCAAGTCCAGCCTTTAGAACTGAAGAGTCACTCAGCATTCCACCATGTATTTTTTGCTTACCTTCTATGTGCCAGGCGGCATACTAAGCACCAAAGATACAAAAGTGGACAAAACATTACAGTTCAGGTTGGTTTTTACCAAAATAATGTCTAACATGCCCAGGAAGTACAAACGCTTAAGATAAAGTCCAAATTTAGGGAAGGAGATCAAGTATATGCATTCACTCTTCAATATACTAAAGAACAAGGTGTAACATATAAAATAATTCCTCAGATAGTCTTAAGCACTGAGAAAGCCCATTTCCACAGGTGACCTGATTCTGTCCAGCCCACTTGGACAACCATTTTACGAAGGGCATTCTCTTGTGCTAAACAACTCCATGCTGCATGCTGGGGGCTTGACATCTGTCTTCAGCCCAAGTACTTGCAGGATTGTCAGAGGAAAGAGGTGAGCATCTGTTCTCCACTTCCACGGGGGCAGTGATCACAGGGAATGAGCTGAGAACATCATTGGACACCGAGGTATTTATAATAGATTTTCCTGTCAGTCAGGGTAACTATAATGCTTTCCTAGAAGAGGGCATAGAGATTTTCTTCTCTGTACATTCTTCAAAATTAAAAATTTAAATTACAGTTCATCTCACAGGGGCGGTTTGTGTTTGCTCTTGAGTTAAGGAGCTTGGAATAAGTAGTCTCTCAAATTTCCTTCCAAATACTTTCTTCCCTTTTTAAGTGGATATGTGAGTTAGAATTTCTGGCTCTTAGTCGCTTGCTTTACTTAGAACTTTCCCTCAGTTATGTTTAGTCAACGAATGTGTGAAAATCCTGTCATTTTATGAAGAGGCTTCTGTTTGGAATACAAATGTGAAAACTTTAAAGAAGACAAGTGGCCATGTGTAAAAATACCTGCTTCTATTCACATAGTGCAGGGTAGTTACTATTTGGTAGATTTCTATTTGTTGGTAGCATCAGTAACATATAATTCTGATATAATTTTAGGCAGAAACTACTAACCCCATCTGGAGCCCATATCCAAATGGGACTTGACTCTTCTAGTTCATTTCCACAAACCTTAATAGAGTTCATTGTATTGTTCTATGTGCCAAGAAACGTAGGGGGAAAATGAGAGCCGAGTCTTGAGTTGGTTGATAAAAATTTGGAGTAAAATATTTAATATTAAGTTAAATATAATCTATAATATCAATATAACATAATATTAAGTATAAAACTAAAATATAACATCACATTTGATAGACTGAGGGTTTTAAGTCTGGGTTGTAGACTGGCCTTGCTACCTCGTTGGGGCAACTCACTCACGGCCTTCTTGGGTTCCATGAACTATAAATTACTTAACAATTAACAATTGTTAAGTTGTAAATATATGCAGAAGTCTTTGAAAACTGCAAAACATTATAAAATGCAAATGATGAGATTAAATTAATAATTGGTATCATGATAAATTAATGAACAGTGATACGAACACATACTAGGACTCAACCCTGAAGTATCTTTGTTCCGCTCTTCAGAATGTGTTATTAATTGGCATATCTTGTAAACGTGCTTCGGTCACCCACAGTGGCCTCCAGTGGCAGTATGCTAGAAATCCAGACTGTGAAAAAAAGAAATCTTATTTAAAATGAGATTTCATACTTTGGAAGCAATATGGTGGTTCCTCAAAAAATTAAACATAAAATTACCGTATGATCCAGCAATTCTACTTCTGTGTATATAGCCAAAAAAAATGAAAGCAGGCACTCAAACAGATATTTTTACACCAGTGTCCGTAGCTGCAATATTCACAACAACCAAAAGGTAGAAACAACCCAAACATCCATGGAATGATGAATTAATAAACAAAATGTGACTTCTACATACAATGGAATACTATTCAGCCTTAAAAAGGAAGGAAATTCTGACACATGCTACAACATGGATGAACCTTGAAGACATCCAAAGTGTAGTAAGTCAGACACAAAAGGACAAATGTAAAATTTCACTTATATGAAGCACATAAAATAGTGAAATTCATAGAGACAGAAGGTAAACTGGTGGTTGCCAGGGGATGAAAGAAGAGGAATGGGGACTTACTGTTTAATGGATACCGAGTTTCAGTTTGGAAAGATGAAAACTTCTGCAGGTGGATGGTGGTGATGGTCACACAACAATGTGAATGTGATTAACGCCACTGAACTGCACACTTCAAAAGTGTCAAAATGGTCAGTTTTAGGCTTTATGTATTTCACACAATTAAGACAGAAATTTCGTATTTCCTTCTTTGAAAACAAGAATGTTTGGCTGTTGGATTTTTCTAATAAGTGAAAAATAGAGAATTTTGAGAACGCTTAGGCTTATCATCCACAAAGTTGAATGTCAGTACCTCCGATTCTGACAAAGTTTACCTGTTTTTATCATTCAGAGAACTGTTTTTTGATTTTTTTCAGTGAGAACAGCAAGCACATGTTTTGCACTGAACGGTCTTTCAGAAGTGTGACGTCCAAATTTGGATTCTTCTATTTATATCAGAAAGCAATGTGGGGAACTTCTGTATCTTAAAATGAAGGTTACATTGTTTTTGATATGATATGTTTAGATGTAAAGTATTTTTTTAAATTCTGGTCTGTGAAAATTGGCAAGCTTTGTATATTTATAGTAACTTTAAGTCAGAGACTCTTACCAAGCTAAATAATAGAAACTCATTGCATCCTGACATATCACCTTTCTTCTAAAGAGTCCACTTAGCTTTCACATTTTCCATCTCATGTTATTAGTATAATCTTATGACAGGCAGTTTTACAAATGGAGAAGATATATAATTTTTTACTGTTAATACACTGACTATGATGAAAGTAGGATTAATTCATATACCAATTAAAGAAGATAAACTTTTCTGTGTCAGTACCGTTCTAGGTACTGGGCTGGGCTACGACATGATATGAGTTCTGCTTGTCAAGGAGCTTTGGCGGGCTGGGGAGGCAGACTGAGATGCAGTGTACTAAGTGCTCCAGTGCGGTGGGCACCGTGGGAGCAGGGAGAGAGGCCAAGGAACTAGTCTGATGGCCAATGAGAGAGTCCTCAGGGAGCTGAGGCTTTAAGCTAGACATGAAAGATAAGTAGGAGTTACAGGTCCAAGAAAAAGCGGAGGCAAAATCAAATATCTAAGAACTGCTAGCCCATTGTTCTTTCCACAGAACCTCCTATTGCTAGGGAAAAATAAATGTTCAAAACATAGTTTTACAATATTCATGTACTAAATATGTCAGTCACCACCTGGTCAATCCTTTTCATTTTACAGATGAAGACTCTAAAGCCTTGGGAATTAAGGAATGCAGTATTGTTGCCCCATTTCAGTGACGTTAGCTGGCTTGTGTTTGCTTTCTCCTTTCACCAGCCTGAAGGATGTTTATGAAACTAGAGTTCTGTCTCATGTGCCGGCATCATCCCCGAGGGTTGCTCTGAGCTTCACACCACCCCCATGTTTCTGTGCCTTTCACAGTTTCACAACCAAAGACGAGCTGGGGAAGGCAGCGCCTCAGCTTCTGACTCCTGGGCTGATGGGAGAATCTTCAGAATCCTTCAGTGCCTCAGAGGACGAAGGCCAAAGGGAATACCAGGCCAATGACTCTGACTCTGATGGGCCTGTCTTGTATACCGATGACGATGAAGAGGATGAAGACGAGGACGGCAGTGGAGAAAGTAAGGCTCTTTTCAGGAGGTAGGGAGGGAAGTCTGTGGTGGGCAGAAGCAGCTGCAGCCTGTAAAGAGCAAAAGCCTCATCAGGAGCCCGACACCTGATGTTTTCTTTCCCCTCATGTGCCTTTCTCAGATTAGAAATGTATATCTTCTGAGGTCTAGCTTTAGATGAGAGTCCTTTCTGGAAGATGATTCCACCGGGCAGGGCGGTGGGGGAGTCAGTCTATGAGGCCAGTATGCATATTTGAATTTGTCCAGAAAGTCAAACAGAGGCTTTTCTCAGATTGATCAAAGATGGCGCTTCCACACTGGGACCTTTCTTGAATAAAGAGCATCAGTGCGGGATTTGCTGGATTACTCATGGGGGATGTTTGAGAATTTCACGCACTTTTTTTTTTTTTTTTTTTTTTTTGCGGTACGCGGACGTCTCACTGTTGTGGCCTCTCCCGTTGCGGAGCACAGGCTCCGGACGCGCAGGCTCAGCGGCCATGGCTCACGGGCCCAGCCGCTCTGCGGCATGTGGGATCTTCCCGGACCGGGGCACGAACCCGTGTCCCCTGCATCGGCAGGCGGACTCTCAACCACTGTGCCACCAGGGAAGCCCAAGAATTTCACTCACTTTTATACTGTGGTTTAAAAGGAGGAATGAGTCAAGAATGACTAATACCTTTTAAGAATTAAAAACAGTCACTCATCCATGATAAGAAAGGTGGTATGCCTTCTAAGAAGGAATGCTAGTAAAGTGGATAAAGCCAACCATTTATATATAACTTAGGGAACTGGAAAAATGCTATTTTTAAAATAATATTCTGAGAAAGATGACTTGGGAGCGATTCAGTACGGAATTGAATTTACAGATTATGAAAAGTTATTAATATATTCATGATTAAACAGCATTGTCAAATTCCTTCTAGTTTGTACTGAACAATGAAAAAATCATCAAACAACAATCAGATCAAAAATAACAAAAATCATTATCATTCATTGGTATTTACTATCCTCTGTGAGATATCAGGGATTCCTGGGTAATTTAGGATTAAAACATAGGTATCACAGGTAGACTTTTGTCAGTGTGGTTTTCTGAGTGGGGGGAGGAAAAGGGAAGACGAGGATTTACTCTACAGAATAAGCAAAGGGGCTAAGTGTTTAAGACTCGAAAAAGAAAAGGCGTTATGCAATCAGTAGTTTCCGTGGTATGCCGTCTCAGCAGAATAAACTTCAAATGTCACTGTCCAAAAGATGAGGTGATACTTGCTGGTTTTTTCAGGGTTTCCCAACATTTTTCGGAATATTTTAAAAAACAGTTCTTCACACCATTGTAAAGCAATTATACTCCAATAAAGATGTTTAAAAAACCAAACCAAAATAAAAAAACAGTTCTTCAGTTTTTCAAAACGAACTACATCCAACTTGAAACTATTTTTTCTTCAGGTTAATTAAAATTCTATCGTTGCATGTGAATAAAGAATTTGGTCTGGACTCTATTTATAAAGTCCCTGCCCACGTGTAACCTGAGTGCTACTGGCTAAAATCCTTTCTCTGCATTTCTGCCTTTTCTAATCCTCAGGTGCTTTGGCAAGTAAAATACGACGAAGGGATACTCTTGCTATCAAACTTGGCAACAGACCGTCTAAGAAGGAATTAGAGGACAAAAACATCTTGCAGCGTACCTCTGAAGAAGAGAGGCAGGAAATCCGACAGCAAATTGGAACTGAGCTTGTCAGGTAATTGCTGAAATCTGGGGACAGCACTAATTCTTACTTTTCTCCTTCCTACAGTTCCCTCCCTAACTGAGATCACCGTGACTCCCTCATGGAAGGGCACGCCTGGCCTATCTGGTCTTCTAAAGTTGGTCTTGGATGGTGAATCGCTCAAAGAAGCTCCTTTTTGGTCCAGCTAGCCAGTAGCTTTGAGGTCGCCAAAGCCCGATCCAAGTGGGGGCAAACTTTTTCTATAAAGGACCAGTTAGTAAATCTCTTAGGCTTTGTTGGCCAGACAGTCCCTATTGCAGCTACTTGACTGTGCTATTGTAGCATGAAAGCAGCCATAAACAATACATAAACAGATAAGCACGGCTACATTCCAAGAAAACATTCTTCACTAAAACAGGCAGCAGGCCAGAGTTGGCCTGCGGGCCATAGTTTGCCCAACTCCTGGTTTGATTCATGGACTCCCTATAGCATTCCTATGACTGCCATCCGCTTCTGCCCTGGGGGCTGCGAGACTACAGAAATATTAAGTAGCTTCAAGGGCCAGTTCCATCCTAGTCAGGTAGCCATAGCCCCCATATCGAAACTTCCCCCTCTTCACTTCAAATAAATGGTCATCTGACTCCACTTCCTACCTCCGCCATTGTAGGATTTCTACTTTTGCCACTCGTGGCATTGGAAGTCCATGGAACTGGCAGTTTTAACAGAAGCAAGTGCTGAAACTCTCCTTTTTATGATCAGTTTAAGCATATTTAAATATTAGTTGTTTTGCTAACTTCCCTCACTCTGCATAAAAAATAGGTTGCGTAAATTGGGAGAAGGGAACAGCCTGGAACACCAGAACAAGATTTGGAGGTGGGAGAAAAGTCCTCCCCTTGCTTGGAAGTGGAAGATTTCTGTGACTGTGGTGTATCTGCAGGGTAGGCATGTGAGGGGTTCAGAAACCACTGTCTGTTTTGTAGATGGGGCCAAGCCGGGGCTTGTGCAGATTAAATGAGATGGTACACTGAAGGTATGTTAGTGCCTAGATCCTAGCGAGCACTTAAGAACATTAAATATTTTTTATTAAAGTATTACCTCTTAAATTAGCAAAACACTTTTATAAATTAAACCCAATGTCGGCAACGTTATGAGAAAATAGGACACATATACTTCGCCCTTGTTCAATATTTCTGAAGAACAACTTAATAATACAAGAAAAGAATTCTAAAACAGTATTTCTTTACATGGTAATTCCGTTTGGGAGGTTATACAAGAAGGAAATAATCTAAAAGGGAAAAAACCCTGTGTTTTCCAAAGATGTTTATTTGAAGGGTATTTAGAGCAGTGACAAATTAAAGCAAACCCGAAACACTCAAAAACAGGGGACTGATGAAGAACATTGTGAGAAGTTGACACCATGAAATAACTGTAGAGTGGTGGTTTTCTAACTCTGTATTAGGATTTCTTGGAGAGGATACTCAGGCTTCCTGGGGAGAGCTAGGGAAGTGGGTGTGTTTTTGGGCTGAGGCGGGAGAGGACTCCTTCATTGTAGGTCTAAGTAGCCAACCACAGCAGCACTTCTGTTTTTGTAAAATTCCACTCCAACCCCCAAAAGTTTGAGAGCCTCTAGAAACACACATGTAGTCCATATCTATAAAAATCAGATCAGGGTAGGGTTTTTAGTTTTATAAGTATATAAATTTTATAGAATTGTTTTTCTACAAACCCAGCACACCTAGTCCCTGTCATTCAAAGATAAAACACTTACAGTTCCTGCCTTAGAGGACTCCATGTCTAGTGAAAGAGGCAAAATTTATACTGAGTGATGGAGATCATGTAAAAAGCACAAACATCTAGGTCAAGAGAACCACGTAGGAGTCCTGGCTCTGTCGTTCAGTAGTGTTTTCTGGAAGGCAAGGGAACTAATCTCTCGTTTTCTTATCTGTAAAATGGGAACTGGCTGCCACCTTGCTGAATTGTTTCAAGGATTCAAGATAATGTAAGCTAAGCACCCAGCACAGTGACTGGGACTTAAAAGGATGAACTCATGAGAGCTGTGATTATTATCTTTATAATAATAAGTGCTTTAATCTATGTATAATTTATGTAGAACTGCTGTAGAGGGACAAAGAACCAGGAGCCTTTAATAACTTAAAAGATTTCAGGGCTTCCCAGGTGGCGCAGTGGTTGAGAGTCTGTCTGCCTGCCGATGCAGGGGACACGCGTTCGTGCCCCGGTCCGGGAAGATCCCACATGCCGCGGAGCGGCTGGGCCCGTGAGCCATGGCCGCTGAGCCTGCGCATCCGGAGCCTGTGCTCTGCAACGGGAGAGGCCACAACAGTGAGAGGCCCGCGTACCGCAAAAAAAAAAAAAAGATTTCAGTAGGTGAAGAAGGAGAGGAGGGCATTCCGGAGAAAGGAAACTCCATAAACAAAAGAAGGATGATGTCTTTGGGGGATGATATCGTACAGATATATAGTATAGGATATATGAATGGCACAAAATCTGGCTGGCATAGATGTTCACTGGCTTTTTTTGTGGGCTCACTTACTAAGTGAATTTCAAGGTAGCGCTGATGAAGATTAAATGTTAAACTTTTTAATGAGCTATTCAAAATATCATTGATTTTAATTCTTCATACCATTTCTGTCACAGCCATAAACATTTAGAATTGATAGTATCTTGCATTAAGATTGCCTTTCATGTATATTAGTTTAATTTGCACAAATTCAGTCTATCAATACATCCAGAGGAAGTTTTTGTCTGTGATTAGCAACAAATTAATAATGTAAACAAGACCAACAACAAAATTATAATGGTTTAATAAGACATTGAGCCCTTGTGTACAAATGATCAGGTACTAATCCCAAATGAGCCTGGCTTTTCTTGAAGGTTGATGGAAACGGCCTGTATACCTCAAGATAACTTTACATACATTGTAAATTTATTTGAGATCCCGAAAGTAATATTTTCCTGAAAGCACTGTGCAGTATAAATTGATCATCTCATGAGTTGGTATGAACCCTTGAGCCTTTTTTTAGATTCTAGTTATCTGTATGTTAATTAGGGTACAGGCTAAGCTGCTCTAACAGAGACCAAAAAGTGCAGTGGTCCAAGCAAGCCACTTCCACATGTTTGCTTCTTTTTCACATCGCAGTGCAGGGGTAGGTGGGCTGTCCAGCATGGGTGGCGAGCACAGCTCCAGGCAGTCAGATAGGCGCCCAGGTTCCTTCCGTCTTGTTGCTCTTCCATCTCCGTGGATATCCTCATCTGCATGATCTGAGCTGGCTCACATGACCATGTTTAAGTTCTAGCCTGTGGAAGAAGGAAAGAGAGAAGGGAACACACACCCAGTCACTTTAAGTGTAAAAAGCAGACATTACAAACACCGCTTCTGCTCACATCCCATTGCAAGAACTCAGTCACACGGCTGCACCTTGCCTGTAGGGAGGCAGAAATCTATAGCTGGGTGTTCAGCTAAAACTCTGGGGGTTCTGTTTCTAAAAGGAAGAAGGGAGTATGGGTGCGGGGGGGTAGTTAGCAGTCTCAGCCACAATCTCTAGTCTCCAAACTGATGGAAAGGAGGCTTAAAAATGGATTTTTGTTTCTCAAAACACAAAAAAATACAGCTTTGCTTGTTGTTTTATTTTGCGTCTCCCATTAAGGTGGCCTTGTTTGTAACCGGCAGCATATCTGTTTTTTCATCACAGGAGACTTAGCCAGAGGCCCACAACTGAAGAATTAGAGCAAAGAAATATCCTGAAGCGTGAGTATCCTGTACTACACAGCGAATTCCTCGTGTAACCATGAACAAGCTCCCTCTAGAGAAAAATCCATTTGTCAGCAGGGAACCTTAATATATTTATTCACGAATGACTGAAATGGCCCATTTAGATCACATTTTTATATATTTATTTATATCATTTTAAAAATAATTTCTTGACGTTTGTGTTTCATTTTATGGCTTTAAGCCTGAGATACCCCAGAGCAGTGTTGTGGTTGTGACAGTTGTTTTTAAGAAAGATGAAATTTATTCCATGTATTCTTTCACCCAAATATTAAATAGAAGAAAATGCTCTAGTCTGCTTGCAGCTAAATGTCAAAGAAAAGACCAAAAAATCCACGAGGAAATAAATCAAACATTCCTATATTATTATTAATAATAGTTTGTTGCCAGGTTTAACAAATGACTCCATTTAAAACAGAATTATGGGAAAAGGAATTTTTCAATCCATTTCATTTTCCTTTGTTATGATAACTCTGTTTCCCTCTTGAGTTATTTATAATTTTTCAGCACTTAAGGAGGCCTCCATTCATTTTCCTACTTCACTTTCCCATTCTCTTTCCCCCTCTATTTTCTTGGACTTTACATTTTACTCATTGGTCCGGTCATATTTACATTATTGGAGTTCATATGTTGAAACTATAAAATGAATAGAAGTGGTTTGTTGTGCTGTAGTGGATCGATGTGGTTACTAACCACAGTGAGTTAAATAATGGATATTTTTAAATTGAGCCTAGCTGTAGTTTTCTATATTATTAACCCAGTCTCAAAAGAGCTTTTTATTGTATGAAATATCAAACAGCAGGGATGGGCAAAACTCCAGAGAGTACTATAATAGTAATGAGCCACTGGCGTGCGGGAAATCTTTTTCAACCAGGCTTTAAGAGTCAAGTTGGCCTGTCTGGGTGATCCCCATTCTCCAAATGAGTTGTTTTCTTTCCTGAAGGAAAGAAAGATTTTAACAGCATATTTATACTACAGTTGCTATTACTAAGACAACCGGACAGTGAAGACTGAACAGTGGGATGAACTTCCAGTCTATGGGGTTCTTTCCTTGCAAGGTTTTTTTCTGGCCTTTTTTGAGCATAACTGGCATGGAACCCAAAGAAGAAGGACTTAAGTGACCATCAGTGTGTAGAAGAGCCAGTTTGGAGATGGAAAAAGTCATGGCTAGATAAGAAAAAAAAACCAAAACTGTGTTTAGCTTTCTGAGGAAGAATGAAAGCAACATCTCATTTTGACAACAAAACCAAACCAAAAAGGCTCATGGTTTTTAATAATAGGTTCCTGGAAAATATTTATGAGTTAAATTGTAGATAAGCTCAAATGCAGTCCATAAGCTCTGAAAACACAGAGAGTGTATCTTATTGGCTGCCTGATGCAATACCTAGAAAAAAAAGAAAGAGCGAATTCTGGGTAATTCTTTCCTGCTGCTGGGAGACACACAGAGCCAAACCACATTGCTGTTTGGTTATTTGAGGAACTGTTTCATAGATTAGAAATGTATCGCACATTGATCTTAAGTGCTGTGTTGGCTTTATATACTCCATTTTCCTGGAGGTTGGGGAAAGGGTGAAACGCCAAAGTCAACTTCAGATTTGACTCCAGCCTTTTTTTACTTCCTTCTTAGTTTGTCTAAATGTGCTTATGCTGGAAACAAAAGACACGTTTCCAGTCTGGAGAAGCTGATAACTGGCTTATGATCTCCTGACATAATGTATGGCCAAGGGAAGCAGAAAAGAGAACTGGTGGAGGACACCCAAAACATTCTGCTGAGCAGCCCCAGGGAACTGGATGGCCAGAGCTGACAACACTTTATTCAGTTCCTCTTGTTTCTGTGTTCTTCCACATAGATTACTCTCGTTTGTTTTGTCTCCATCTTTTGTTCAAAAGCAATATGATTGTCTATTTGAAGAAAAGTCTGTGTGTGATGTGGTGTGATTTTTAAGGACACTTATTTAACGAGGTCATCTTTTCTTGACAGATTAGGAAACTAATTCACAGCATAAAACATTCAGCAGTGCTCAAATCCAAGCCTGTCACTAGTTTAATAAACATGAATCAAATGGCAGTCAACACTGATAGCATTAATTGGAGACCACAGGACAAATTTCATTTCTTAGTATCTTTCCCAGTATCACACCTAATTTGATCTCTTTCCTATTTTAGTGCATCTAGGGTTTTTAAAAAAACATATATATTAAGTTAGATTTTAGAACTAGTTTCTTAATATTGTTAAAATAGAAAGCAAGTTTTGGTGTTTGCAGGATCAACTTTTGCGTATCAGGAAAAGAGATGTTCGTGGAACATCTTCTACAGGGTAGGGATAAAATATTCAGGTCCTCTAATACTGTTTAGCTAGGGCCATAATTCCAGCTAAATCGTCATAGAGAAAACATGTATTAAGCCATTGAGTTCTGCATGTATTTTCCCCCAGTGTTTTGTTATGTAATTTTTAAAGCATACAGAAAAGCTGAAATAATTTTACAGTAATACCCATATATCTACTATCTTTATTCTACCATTAACATCTTACTTTATCACATATCTGTCCATCCATGGAGCCATCTTATTTTTTGGATGTATTTCAAAATAGGTTTATAAATGTATTTTCATTTCTTACCAACACCCATATGGAAACATGTAAAACAGCAAAAGGTGAAACAATCCCACAAAAAAATGTTTGGCTATTTTTAATCCATCTTATCTGAGTTGGCGACTGAAGAATATCTTACTCCAGTTGTTGGTACTTTGGTGCTTTTCTTTCTTCTCCTTTTCGCATCATCCATGAAAGGCTCTGGGCAGCACTTGGCAGGCAGGTTTCTTGTAGCGCCCACTGCTGTTAAACTACGTGTATCGTTTGTATGCTTATGGCAAACGCTTTCCGTGGCTGTTCTGATACCCGCCCCTCTCTGCTCTGATGAGTTACTGAGGGTGAGATTTGTCAGTGAGCCAGTCACTTCCTTCATGAGTATCCCTCCAGTCTGTTTAAAGTGACCAGACGTGCTTTCATCCTACTTTACAATTAGCCCTCTAATAATTTCTTTTTTAAAGTTCCAAAAACTCGGTGAATTTTTGTTTTGTTTTGTTCGTACTGCACGGCTTGTGGGATCTTAGTTCCCCAACCAGGAATCAAACCCAGGCCCTCAGCAGTGAAAGCACGGAGTCCTAACCACTGGACCACCAGGGAATTCCCTTGGTGAATTTTTTAAAACCAAGTTTAAGGTTTAACCTTGACTCTTAGTAGAAGATTTAACAATAACTATTTAGTAAGATTCCTAGGAACGTTGGCCTTCCTCCACCTCTCACCCTCTTCCTCTAACTTCTTTAGAGGCATAATTTCAAATATGGGAAATCTAAGGAAGTCAGTTCCTGATGTTAGAGAAGAATTCCCAATTGGTAAAATCCTGTTTATTTACAGTTGGCCCTTCTTTTTTTAAATATCACTGGCTGACACCTAGATGTGCAGTATGCTTCATAAAGCAAAATTATCTAATATTCTCTTCCAGGAAATTATGTTTTGTGTATTTCTTGAAAATTGGAGCATTTGTTAGCTTTGAGTCATACTAGATATCCAGTATTTTGTCTTTGGAAAGTACCTTTGAAAATGTAGCATGATCATTATATAGAAAGAATAACTGAAATGTTGTAACAATTATATTTTTCTTTTTATTAATATCATCAAAGGCCTGACCCTGTAAAGCCCTAGTTTGAATCACATGAACCACAAGCTCGGTATTTGTCTATTATACATAATTTACAATCCACATGCCTTATCCAACTCATATAAAGTAATTATTTGGGACTTCCCTGGTGGCGCAGTGGTTAAGCATCTGCCTGCCAATGAAGGGGACACGGGTTCAAGCCCTGGTCCGGGAAGATTCCGCATGCCTTGGAGCATCTAAGCCCGTGCACCACAACTACTGAGCCTGAGCTCTAGAGCTCACAAGCCACAACTACTGAGCCTGCGTGCCACAACTACTGAAGCCCACGTGCCTAGAGCCTGTGCTCTGCAACAAGAGAAGCCACCGCAATGAGAAGCCTGCGCACTGCAACCAAGAGTAGCCCCCGCTCACCGCAACTAGAGAAAGCCTGCACACAGCAACGAAGACCCAGTGCAGCCAAATAAATAAAATTAATTAATTAATTAATTTAAAAAAAGAGAGAGCAGCAGATGTCTGCCTGCATTCTGAGTCTCCCCCACTTCCTTTAAAAAATAATAATAGTAAAGTAATTATTTGACCCTAAGGATGTGTTTTAAGGATATATTGCAATATATTTTGTGAAGCAATTAGAAGATCCTACAGTATTTTCATAGGAAGAAATCTGAATTATAATCAGATTTTGTTTGACACTCACAGGCGCTTAATGAAAGCATACTATCTAGTTGTTTCTTGTCTTGCAGGGTAATTTCAGTTTATGTTCATTCTTTGTCTAAATAACCAGACTGATCATCCTCTTTCTTATAAATTAAAATTAGTATTTCAGAAGAATGTCAAGACTTTTCCCTGCCCAGATAAGGAAAATTAAGAGAGAATTTAGCATGTTCAGCTAGCAAATACAGATGTTGCAAATATTGAATACTGATACTGTATTCACAGTAAAAACAATCTTAGTGCTAAGAAGTCTGTTTGAATTTTAAAAGTAAATCTGTCTGTTACAGAGGGGACTTTTCTTTTTCAGCCTTTTGGTTGAGCCTTTATACAGTGTGATTTTCCTTCAGTAGAATTCATAACAGCACTTTCTAAAAGACATTCTTTCGTAAGCATTGGTATCCAAGAATCTATGCTCACTTATCAAACAAAGTATGAGCTACAGGAACCAACAGAGAGAAGTTCATCAAATAGCAACCATTAAAATCCTGAGCAGTGTTTATTTCTTTTAAAATTCTGGACAATTTTTTCTTAATTCCATCTGTTGGACAGCGTTCATTTGAGTTGGCCTTTAAATTGTACTACTTGGTGAAGCACTAGAGAAAGAGAAGACTTTGGAAACTTAGCATCACAAGAAAATAAATCATCTCCATCAACCGTACACCATAACCCCATTCAGAACATTCTGGTTTGAAAGCAAAGTCCAAAGAAATGATTACATTCTGCTTCTATGGAAACCAAAGCAGAAAAGTATTTTGCTTGGATTTGAATGGAAATCAGCATCTCAGACATGCATCAGGTGGTTCTAATTTGGTTTTTTGATGTGATTCAGATTTTCACACAAAGGTCAGATCCAGTAGTAAGTTTTTATCTGAATTCTGATAAATTGTGCTTATAAAAGCCTATGAGACGATCAGCAGTGAGAGGCTTTCACTGGAGTATGGGCACTCTTGTGGTTTTTTCAGAATAGAACAAGCAGTCAGGAAGCAAAAAGTTTTACAATTAGTAAATAAACCAATCCTATAAGGAAAACAATAATATTATCTGTAAATTAATGATTGATCCTTCTGCAGAATCTTTCGATAACTTTTTAAAGATGTTGGTGGAGTGTTTGATCAATATCCATGAAGTCAAATAACTGTGGCCTGAGCTACTTTTCTGATTGTATAATCTTTTATAGTAACTAAGTCTTCATGCCTTTCCTCCCCTTCCCCCCCCAATTAATAAACAGAAAAGAATGAAGAAGAAGAGCAAGAAGCAAAAATGGAACTGAAACGCAGACTCAGCAGAAAGGTGATGAAACTGTGATGGTTAACGAGCGTGTGTATTTTGAGATATACTTCATTTTTAAAATGCAGATCAGTGCTTTACATGTAAATCTGATATTTAGGAATAATTATTCCTATTAGTCTACTGACTAATCACAGACATTAAAATCAATGTAATGTTTGCAATATTAATTATGTTTATATTAATGCATAATATGCTAATTTTGAAAAGTCGACAGTCAAAAGTTTTAAATTACATTTGCCAATTATGAAAATAACTTATAATCTGTGTGAAATTTTTTCAAATGCCAAAAGGAACAAAAAAGACTAGAAAATCATGCAGACGTCTCCCATTCAGAGATAACCATTATTAACATTTCAATGTGTAGTTTGTAAAAATGCTCACTGTTCCCATGCAGTTTGGGAAACACTGAATAAATACTTTGTTATTACTAAAGATTCTGAGCTGGGTGAGTAATTTATTAAGTGAACTTGATCATCCAGCTTGCCTGCTGCAGTGCTACCCAAATTGACAAATGGCTTACCTCCAAAACTCAGACCATTGTTTCTACCCATTTATGAAAATATAAATCTGATACCAGGGCCCTCGCTTTTTTCGGTAAGTGTTAAAATAATAATAATCTTTGGAAAAATTAAGCACTGTCAGAGTTTATATTTCATTATAAACACCTTGCTCAGTAATTCTTCAGATATACCTTTCACAGCTGGATAAGGCAGGATGAGTAAAATATGACATCTGCAGCAAAGAGTGTGACCTGACCCACATTTATTTGGGCTGGCTGGGGAGTTCACAGCCAAAACATTCCAAGGCAGAAAGAAGAAGCACTCCATTCCCATGGAAAAGTTAGAGACTGTATTTTGAGAGGTTTTGGTTTTGATTTTTAGGGAAAAATAGCCTTAATTCATCTCTTTTGTTCCTCAGAGATCCCAAACATCAAACAATAATCAAGTTAAAAAAGACACTATAAACTGAATTTCTTGAGATGGCTCTTCTAGCAATTCAATGGCCATTAAGTTACCAGCTACAGATAAGCGGTAACCCCTCCTCCTTGCTCCAGCTCACCTCTGTCATACATATAGTCTTTTCTTAATCCAGTTGGGTCCTTCTGGGAGACAACAGAGCTGCCCTACCCCCACTAGCCTGTACCACACAGAGCTCCCTGCCATAGGTGCAAAATATTCCATAGCACTAATAGCTACCCCGTAACTGGCACAGCCCTGAAGGGCAAGACTAGATGGAGAACTTCTGACCTCTGTGGCCATTGGTCACTTGCATTGTGGGAAGTCCCCAGAAGCAAGGGTTTCTCTACCTTCTTAATCCTACCTGCCCTAGAGTGGCAGTAAGAAGCTAGCAGTATAGATAGCACAGTAACTGAGAGGATAACAGAACCACTTAGATTTTTCCTCCCTTTGTCCATCACCTACCAGGGCTTTATGAAGATAGAAGGAGCCGCCGTTGCCTTATCCCAGGTCAAGTAGGCTCAGGGTGTAGACCCAGACCTAAGAATCCTTGAATGCCTTGAGTTTTAGAGCATTGACAGTTCAGCCTCTGGTTTTACTCAAGAGGAAACCAAGGAAAGGGGAGAGTTTTGACCACAAAAAACATCAGTTTTTGTTTGTTTGTTTGTTTGTTTTGTAAGAGTGCTTAATTTTTCCAAAAATTGAACCCATGCAAATAAGGAATGCCTCCAAAGAGGACCACTTAAACCATGGATAGTCTGGCTGTATATAGAGTGTATGTATGGAGAGAAAAATACTGAAAATGGACCCGATGGGTAAAACATAGGCCTGGCTCTACGTGTCTGACAATACTGTGACACCTCCCAACTGAGAAAGGCCACAAAAGCATGAAACTTAATAGCGGACAGTAGATGATGCCTGTTCAACCAGGGGCCCAGTTTCTTTAGTCTCTCAGGACGATCTCTGTCTGTTCTTGGGCTTGAGAAAGGACCATGAGAGGAAAACAAATACACACAGGGCAGGGTAGATTAAATATAACCATAAATTTGAATTTGACAAAAACCACAGGGGGACTCCAAGTTATTAGAAGTGTCTTAAGGTTGCAGCTGGGTTTAAGCAGCTGTGGCCTCACTGAAGTGCAGTGTGTCCCCCCTCCTCATTGCTGCATATCGGCTTTTCTGGCCAAGGGTAAATGTCAGATCTGGACCTGTGTCCTTAGACTCTCATGGAAGACCACCATAGGCACACCCTTCACTGGACCATTCCTTTGTTGTAACTTTGTGCATTTCCGAATATGCAGGTTTAATATAGTAGGAACAGAGATTTTTATTCTCATTTCTACAAGTTGTAGGGCTTTTGTCTTGAGAATTCAATCTTCAAACCAGCCATACTATATCTGGATTACTATTGTGTCTGTCCCCCGTGTCAGAGATGACAGGCACCTTTATCACAATGCCAGGCAAGGTGGGGGAAATAGCATAATGCAGATGGTTGCTAAAGACTGTGACCTATCTAACAATGGTGATTTTTATAGTTGCAAAATTAGGGCACACTGCTTTCTAGTTCTCATTAGAAACTCCCAAGATGCTGCTGCCTCTTTTTTTTTTTTTTTTTGATATCTGAAAGTGACCTTATGTAACCATAACTTTGAAGTACTCTGTAGAAAACGTGCCACCATGAGGCTGTAAATGGTTTACTGAACTCATCCCTATCCTCCTGCAGCTCAGCCTGAGACCCACAGTGGCAGAGCTGCAAGCTCGAAGGATCCTGCGGTTTAATGAGTATGTGGAAGTCACCGATTCACCTGACTATGATCGCCGGGCAGACAAGCCCTGGGCCAGGTTAACACCTGCAGACAAGGCAAGACCTCAGTGGCTTGAGCCCTGATTTTATTTATGTATAATTTTATTGTTTTTCTAAAAGCTCCAATACCTACTTACTGCTTACTTAGTCATCTTAGGAGACTAGGTATTACCAAATATCCCAATAATTTTCTGCCTTTGATTATTCAAGACACTTAGGTGATACATTTAATAATATCAACATATTTCTTTCAATTAAGTCTCAGAAAAAACTTGTTCTTTGTTACCATATAACCTGCCTGCATTCAAACCTGGATTGGGGTGGGGCATGTTTCCCATAGCCATGATTTATCCTTACTTGTAGAAAATATAACTTATACAAGTGACTCTTTTAAAGGGATACGTTAACAGTGGAAAAGGTATTGATCTCTAATCAAGGCTGGCACACTTTTTCTATAAATGGCCAGAAAGTAAATATTTTAGGCTTTGTGGGCCGTCCAGTCTTTGTTGCAGTGGCTCAGCTTTGCCTTTGTAGCATGAAAGCAGCCATAGACAGTGTGTAAGTGAATGGATGTATATGTGGTCCAATAAAACTATATTTATAAAAACAGATGGGGGTGGTGGTGGGATGAATTGGGAGATTGGGATTGACAGTATATATACTAATATGTATCAAATAGATAACTAATGAGAACCTGCTGTATAGCACAGGGAACTCTACTTCACAGTAGAAACTAACACAACATTGTAAAACAACTATACCCCAATAAAAATAAATTAATTAATTAAATAAATAAAATAAACCAGATGATGGGCCACATTTGGCCTATGGGTCATGGTTTACCAACACTTAATCTATATCATGGCTCACAGTTCAGGATAACTGAAATATATAGAGGGTTCCATCATGAAGAAAGACTAATTATTTTATGAGTACCATGGTTACATAAAGAATTTTGCCAACCATTTGTTTGTTTCTAAATTCTTCACTTTACAATTTTCCTGATCTCCCAAATAGTGGTTTCTAATTTTTGTCTCTAAGCAAAATTCCATATTGAGTAGTCTCATGCCACACCCAGTCTTAAAGCTAGAACTAGGTATTTAGGTACACTCTGTGCTGATGCCCTCTAATAGGAGATTTCATTCTGTAAAGCACCTACTATGTGTCAAGCTCATATTGGAGATACAGAATCAGTACTAGCTCATAAGAAGAAATGAAAACTAGAAAGGAGTAAGATTACAAAGGAAGAATGCTTAGAATGAAAACAGAAGGGAAGGAGGCTGGGAAAAGAGCCCGAGAAACCCAACACGAAGAGACATTGGAAAAATACTGAAAAGAAATGTCTGTGAGGTGGGGAAAGAGAAGCTGTAGCCCGGCAGCCTAGAAAGGGGAGTGTCAGCTCACAAGTGGTTAGTAACATAGTGAAAGGAGGCATTTTAGCTGACTGACTGTGGTGGGGACCATGAGAATAAAACACAACCTCAAGAGTCTCGCTGTGAAGAAGAGGTATGATAAGGTAGACACCTGAGGGAAAATGATTGTGGAGGCTGAAAGCTTGAGTGAGTAGAATTGGAAAACAAGAATATCAAGGGAGTGATTTTTTAATTTATGGGAAATACCTGAGCCATCTTTTATGCCATGAGGAAGGAGCGAAAAGAAAGGGAAAGTTTGCCTATATAGGAGAAAAAGTCAGTAAGTGCTAGAGTAGGGCATAATCAGTGGTGCAGCAGGTCAAGGATTATGCAGAAAAGGCAAGGAGGAAACCCTTGAGGTTGGAATGGAGAACACAGACTGAGGAATGTGCCCTAAAAAAGGAGGCTTCCCCCAGGCAGGTGAAATCCCTCAGATCGAGGGCAGCCATGAGGGCATGAAGAAGGCTGTGATACTCAGGTGGTGGGGCAAGCTTACCATCAGTCAATACCAGGTTTCCTGTAGGAAACAGCAAGTTTATGTGTTACCAGTAATTGCCTGTTAACTACTTAATGTGATTTCTTGCCCTTAGGCAAGAGTGACTCAGGTCACTCAGTGTTATTCAGCTGACAAATGGGCTGCTCTGGAGGGTCCGAGGTGGCTTGTTTACATATCTGGTGTCTTGGTGAGGATGGCTCAGAGGCTAGGCTTATTAGCAGCTAGGCTCAGCCAGGGCTGTCCACCAAAGCACAGACATATGGCCTCTTCAGCATGGTGGCCTCAGAGTTGTCAGGCTTCTTACATGGCGGCTGGCTTGTCCCAGAGCAAGTGCCCCAAGAGAACCAGGTAAAAGTTGCATGGCCTTATCTGACCCAGCTTTAGAAGGCACCCAGCCTCGCTTCCACCACATTCTGTTAGTTCCCGGCAAGTCATAAGGTCGGCTCAGATTCAAGGGAAGGGGAATTAGCTCTGCCTTTCAGTGGGGGGAGTGGTGGCAAGGTCATATTGCAGAAGAAATGTGAGCTGGAGTTATTATTGCTGCCATCTTTGGAAAATGCAGTCTGCCATATCCACCATTCCCAGTTATCACGTTACTCAAATGTTGAATTTCAGAAAGGCAGGTAGGGCGTGGCCAGGTAAATGATTAAAATCAGAGCAAGTGCAAAGTATACAAGCAGTGAGAGTCTAAATGATTAACCACCCTCATATGGAAACTACATTTTCCATACTCTAGAAATAGTCCTTCCTAACTCTTGTCTGTTGGTGGAAGGTAAAGTTTGTCCACCTCTAGCTATAACAGAGAGGATTTTTCTTTTTAATTTTGTGTTGAAACAAAAATAGATTTTTGTGCTGACTTCTAGGCTGCAGGGGAGATGTACTTGGTCGAGTTTTCTTCTACAGGATTAATGTCTCTTCACGAGTAATTTGAAGGCACATGACTTTTACATCTCCCCTGGAGATGGAACCCTGAGCCCCAGAGCACAGCCAGAGGCCCTCCCTACTCACATCTGAGTCTCATTTTCTCCCTTTGACATTGTCTCTTCCATTAACCCTGAGACCTTTGAAGGTCTAAAGGACTGCATTTTTAGAACCGGATTTGTATTGTAGGTTTTTTCTCCTTGAAGAAAACTAAGAATAATTTCTTTTAGAAAGAAAAAAATGTTGTATACTTTTAAAAGATAGAAAATAGAAAAAAGGCAACAATGTAAAATGCTTTTAATGTATAGTACTTCGTATATACACAAGTGACTTGTGTTTATTGGCAAAAATCAGAATATTCAAAAATACAAGAAGAGGAAATAATAATTACAGTGCACATCAATGCATGGTATTTTTTATTTTTTATTTTTTTGCGGTACGCGGGCCTCTCACTGTTGTGGCCTCTCCCGTTGCGGAGCACAGGGTCCGGACGCGCAGGCTCAGTGGCCATGGCTCACGGGCCCAGCCGCTCCGTGGCATGTGGGATCTTCCCGGACCGGGGCACGAACCCGTGTCCCCTGCATCGGCAGGCGGACTCTCAACCACTGCGCCACCAGGCAAGCCCAATGCGTGGTATTTTTAAGAATTTCTAAAAATACTGTTTTCAACCTAACACTGAAAAAAATAATCTGTTTTCTCCAGATGTTAAAAGATTTGTATAATGTAATGTTATTGCCCAGAGATACTAAAACTATCAATGGTCTTAGTATATATTTTATTTTAGAATGAAAACCCATGCTAATCATTATTATCGTAACAAGCATTTCTGGATTTCTGTTGTTTTTTACTTTAAAATATTCATAATATATGACGATAAGATTTATAATGATATATTTTTTCAATAAATCAATATAAAAGCCTATAATTTACCTTTATATTAAAAAAGAATTTTACTTTTTAACTTTTGAACTATATATCCCATTTAAAGAGAAAAAAAACTATTGAAAGTAAATATTTCTACCTCTGCTCTCAAAATAAACACTGAACTTCCTGCCAGCCTAAAGGAGCCATCCTTCTCTCTCTTTTCTTAGTACTATTTTCTTAGCCCCACTAAGATACCACTTTGCATTTAAAAATTTTTTTGAACTTCAAATGTAAAGAAAAGGGGTCAGTAGCCGATTAGTCAATAACCAATCAATGCCCATTCTATGAAAACACTGTGCTGGGTATTCTGGGGAATCTCATAGACCTGGTAGTCTTGTTAAACTGCCCGAAATGGGAAAGAGAAGTAGTGGGGAAAATGCATTATTAATTGTGAACTTGACTGAGCTTAAATCACCTTTAACATAAAATTTTTAATTTTAGAATATCTGTGCTTGGGTAGAACACTAGAAACAGATACACATATAGTAAGATATCTGTGGCCTCTATAAATATATATGGCCTATATAGATATCTGTGCTGGAGTAGATGAGCCCTAAGGTGACAAGTAGAGCCAGAGAAGGCCATCAACTTGGCTTGAAGACCAGAGCGCCCACAGCAGTTGCCATCTCCCTGGGGTAAACCGTGGAAGCTCCATGTAGAGAGGAGAGGGCAGGCTATGGAGCAGGGCGCTTCTGGGTTTGATTCCTAATTGGCTACTTGGTAGATGTTTGACCTTGACCAAGTCATTTAACTTGGGTTTCCTCACTAGTAAAATAGAGCTAATTATATCTATCCTGAGAATTTAGTAGATTATCTATAGAGTTCCAGCTCATCAATAAATGATAGCTCTTACCAGTATTACTTTCATGGTCAGGCTTGATAATCTAAGCTTTGTTCCCCATTGGTGACATTTTCATTACTCATTGAAGACTCAGCTTACAGTCTAGTCTAAATGTATCCAATGAAAGAGAATCCGGAATTTTTCAGATGATACATGGGTTTGTCCAAGTTACTCAGTAGTCATTTATTAAAACCCTTTTAATATAATATTGTCTTAGATACTGGGGACATAAAGATGAATAGAACGTACCACCCTCCCAGGAATGCACTGTCTAAATAGGTCCTAGGGAAGACTGAGATTTTAATTCCATACAGAGACGTTCTTTGGCTTATTCATGGCTGCCTAGGCAGCAGAAAGTACACTTACCTAACCATGGCGTTGAGCTTGATGAGTAGCCAAGAAATCCCCTCCATGTTAAACGGCAGATTTTTATCAAAGAAATAAGCAAAGACATCGAAACGATGGGAGTTCAAGTTAATCCTCATAGCTCAGGTTATTTGAGAAGGCAGCAAGTCCATATATTCAACAAATCACCTCTTGCTTCTGGCCAGGCTGACCCCTGAGCTGACTGGGAGTGATAAGCAGACCTTCCATCACCAGTCATCACGAGTCAATCTTAAACTTGGTTCCAGTCATTTTTGTTTCCCTTTTCCTTTCTATAATTCTCATGCTATCAAACAACACTACATATTTGGTGCCAGTACTGTCTCTTGTGGACTTGTTTTGTTTCAGTCTCAGAAATACCTAGTCTTGGCCGAATGACTCCCCATTGTTGACCCAACTCAGCACCATTCAGATTTCAATCCCACTACATCAGCCTACCTCTTTCTATCCCATTATCTTTCAAAAAAATATCAGTCCCATTTACACTTATGTGAAGAGTTATTAGACTTAAACTCTGGTCTCGTTTGTATAGAAGAGAGTTTATTGTCCATGTATTTCCCTAACATAAAGGGTATTTAATTACTTTTTTCCTCTCCAAACTCTCTCAGGAAACCTTCTCTTTAAATAGTAAGAAGAGGACTTCCCTGGCGGTCCAGTGGTTAAGACTCCACACTTCCAACTGCAAGGGGACGCAGGTTTGATGCCTGGTCAGGGAACTAAGTTCCCTCATGCTGCACAGTGCGGCCAAATAAATAAATATAAAAATAAATAAATAGTAAGAGGAAATAACTCTTGGAATAAAACTGCGGTCTTCAGTGAATTTTTAAAATGAGTATTGCATTTCTTTAACTGCCTATAGTCACATCTTCCTGATATATATATTCAAACAACCAGCCCCTGTAATTTCACATCACATTCATTGCCTATAACTGACTCATCATTTCTAATTACAAGCTAGCACACACAACATGGAGATCTGAGACAATTATCTGGATGACTTAGGCCCTGAAGCTCATTTTATTGGAAAGAGCTTGGGCCTGGAAGTAAGAAGGCCTATCTAGCACCATACAAAGTCACTATAGTATTACTGACTGTAATTACTATACATTACATTCGTATGACTTATTTATTTTGTAACTAGAAGTTTATACCTCTTAATCTCTCTCACCTATTTTACTCATCCCTCTGCTACACCCCTCCCACCCCGGCGACCACCAGTTTGTTCTCTGTATCTGTAAGTCTGTTTCTGTTTTGTTACGTTTGTTCATTTGTTTTGTTTTTTAGATTCCACATATAAATGAAATCATATGGTATTTGTCTTTCTCTGTCTGACTTAGTTTATTTAACATAATACCCTCTAGGTCCATCCATGTTGTTGCAAATGGCAAGATTTCATTCTTTTTCATGGCTGAGTAATATTCCATTGTATATATGCACCACACCTTCGTTATCCATTCATCTGTCAATGGACACTTGATTAAGGAAGACTTTTTGATAGATATTAATAGATAGATAGATATTAATTGGTGATGAATATAGAGAGTTTTTGCTATTTTAGCTGGGTATCAGCCATATACTGGTTCTGGGTATCAATTTTTACAGTGAGTGAAACAAAGTATCCTCACTGTTGATCTCACTTGTGAAACAAGATATATAGTGTTATCACAGGGAACTTGTGGGCCCAGAAATATTTCTCTACTTGATTCATCCTATTCCAAAAAACCATTAGCAGGAACCACTGCCACAGTCCCCAGCCTCAGGTTCCTCATAGAAACTACAGGGGCTGAGGAATATATTTGGAGAGACAATCTACGACTATAGGATTTAAACATAACATTGAAAGCAGCATTGGGGAAAAGCTTGTATATTGCAGAGTGATAGCTAGTGATGGGAGAAAGCCAGAGAGAGGCCTCAAGGCTTTCTTCTGTCTTTTCCCTTTTCTAAAATACATCATTTTCCAGCCACAAAGTAGATTTTCTTATCTCTCTGTAAAGCCGTTCTCTGTGGTTTGTAATGTCATTCTGTTTCAGCTGAAGAGTCCATTTCTCAGAGGTTATGGGGATGCTTTTATTAGTATTTTTTCATTTACATGAGGAAAAACTTCTTCCTAGAAAAATTAGGAAATAAAGATAAGCACATAGTTGAAACTGAAAACCATCCATGATCCAGCCAGTATTGTTAATACATAACTAATGTTAACATTTTGATGAGTATCTCAGCTTTTCAACCTGAAAGGACATAGCATCTCTTCCAACCCCATCATGTACATGACATGGATTATGTGTTCAATAAATAGTAATAGTAATAGGATTCTACTTGATATTTTCTTTGAGTGGCTTGAAGTGTTGTGCTGAAATTTTTTATTCTAATTGTCTAAACTTTCAATATAAAAGAATAAATAGCAATTACCTTCTCTGTAGCTCTGTGGTAGCTCGTCAAAGCCATGTTGCTGTGGGTGGTATGACATGCAGAACTTTCATAGGAAAATGATACTGTTTCTCAAAAAATCTCATGACTTGTGCTATCCTTGTGGTCATCGAGGATGGGGCATGTGGGTGACTCATAGATCAGGCCCCAGGGTGAGTTTGGCAAAGGCCTCCTTCATCTCTGCCTTGCCAATGTCACCTGAAGGAAATCTGTCCTGGTTTTTGTTTGGATGTAGTATTGACGTTTCATTTGTCATACCTTTACCTAGTAGAAATTAGAAATGCCTTTCTCCAAGACATTTCATCAAAGAATGTCTGCGTCATTGATGCTATGTATACTGAGGAAATATGTGATCTAAATAACAATTCAGTTTATGTATTTTTCCTATTTAGGCGGCAATAAGGAAAGAACTGAATGAATTTAAAAGTACAGAAATGGAAGTTCATGAAGAGAGTCGACAGTTTACCAGGTAGGTAAACAAAATGCAGTTGAGCAAATTAAAAATGAGTAAGATGGTAAACTTATGTTACATGTATTTCATCACAATTAAAAATTTTTTTAAAATATAGTTTAACACAACACCCACTATCTAGTGAACATTTCTAAAATTAAGTCTTTTTTTTTCTTTCAAAGAAGTCTGAATCATTCCAAAGGGCTATGTTTTCATTTCTTTCTTAGTTTTATTTTCTGGCCCCCAAAACAAGTATCAGCGTCATTTATTCTGCTCTTGAAGAGACTCAGTTGAAGTTTTATACCCAGAACAGATGCTGGTGAGAGCCAGTTTGGGCACATATGTGTCTGCTTTGAACTCACATAACTTAGAGAGGGTAGAAACTCAATTTTTAGAAGACGTAGCTTAGAAAGGAATTCGATGTTTACTGCTGCCACAGAAGATCACTAGACTCCTACCATTTTTCCTCCCAACACACTTCAGTTTCACAAGCTGCTAAAACCAGAAGGGACCCGAATGATCATGTAGTCTGATCCCCCTACTTCACAGGTGTTCTGTTTATTTCTCTCGTGGGTTTACATGCTATGCTACATGTAACAGGTATTATATAAGATTTTTCAAAGAATTTGCATGCGAATCAAATCTTTGAAACTTGAATTGCTAAAAAACATACGAGGATGGATGATTACCTGAAGAATACCATGGTAGGTCTTTCTGGAAAGCAGACACGGATCCCAAGACTAGAAACAGCCTCTGTAGGGCAGCCATACATCATGGAACGACAGCATCTGCAGTGGTTCCTGTTGGTGGCGGTGTTCCCTGCTGGGGAGCGTGTCCCATGATAAAGGCAGCGGTGATGTATCTTCATCATTTAATAGCAAATCCCTTCCCTGAGGCTTATGGGGGCCTGCTTGCTCCATAGCTATTGGTCCTATAATAATGTCTGGCATGTAGAAGAAATTCCCCTTTCTCCTAGGGATAGTTCTTCCTTATTTGTTTTGTTTTCTCCTGTATCATATTTATTTGTAAATGCATGTAGGGCTTTTAGATGTCCTGAATATACAGACTTTTTCTCTATTTGAGTGCTTTATCCTATGATAATCTACTCTTGGACCCATCACCTTCCCATATCAAGCAGACCTATTTGTCCTCTCCTTTTCTCCCTTCCACTTCTGGGGTCAGGAAGAGTTCATGCTAATATCTGACACTGTGGTCACACTTCTCCAGTTAAGTTGATCATCATAAGGCAGCTGGATATTTATGGTGACATTGAGCTGGGTGGGACCTCCAGGAAACTGGGGAGATGCCATGTGTTTGTGTCGTTGAGTCCTCACCCTGAGAGTCCTGAGATGTAGTGACTGCACGCAACCTAGTTTTTGACATTTAGGATAGTTTTACATCTGTATAGTTTTCCTAGGAATTGTAGTAACTGATTAACTCATTTTCATTTGATAGCATTGTATGAAGAATAAATTACAATAGAAATAATCAAATTTTTAAAATGCACTTATACAAAAGTTCTCATTTTATGAAAATTAAACATTTATACTCACATAGGTCCTTCTTCTTCTGTTGTACACTGTGACCAAGTAAAAAAAAGTAGGATGTAGGGAGAAATGAAGTTCATTTCTTTTTTATCTATGTATTCTGATGTACACAAATAATATATTCTAATTAAGCATTCAAACGTCACAAAAATCTATCAAGGAAAAGTGAAAACTTCCTTCACTCCTTCCCCAAATTCGTCCCCATTCTCACAGGAACCACTGGTAAAAGTTTGGTGTAGATCTTTGTAGACAGTTTTCTGTACTTTCACAAACATGTATATATATGTGATATATGTGTACGTACTTATATGCATTTATGTACCCCTCTCAGTTATACACAAAGACAGCATCTAGAAAATCTGTCCATGTTAGCATATATTTCATTCATTTGAATGACTCTATGGCATTTCATAGATAATACAGTATGCTGTAAGTTGTTGAACAATTATTCTATTGATGGATGAAAATTTCAGTTTTCCATTATTTAAACAACGCTACCTTGACTTTCTTTGTAAATACACTCTTTTGCATACGTGCCAATATTTCTGTAGTATACGAGTATTTGCTATATCCACTAAATATATATTTTTTAACATTTTGAGAGATTACTATTCTCTTGTCTTTCCAAAGGGCACAGTTTTCATTGCGACCTCCAGTTTATGAACATGACTGGTCTACTCACCTTCATCAGTATTTTGGGGTGGTGGGGGTTCTAAAGAATGAACAATAATATCCTATTTCATTGATTTCTGTGAGGTTAGGCATTTTTACATATTTTTATTGATTTTTTTCTAATTTGATGTGCTTTGACCAGTTCTCTTTGGCGTTGTTTGTATTTTTCATATGGACTAGTACAACTTCCTTAAATATTGTGGATATCGGCCCTTTGTTACGTGTGTCACAATACTTTCCCCCAATCTGTAGTTAATGTTTTAACTCTTTTTACGGTCTTTTGTTTAAATTTTTGCATATTCAAATTTGTGTATATTGTTATGTTTTAGTTCATTATTTTGTGTCTGATGGAGGATGGCCAAAATTATAAAACTCATCTTTGATTTTTATATGTGCTTTTTTTTAATACTTAAATCTTTCATTCATCGGGCATTTATTTGTATGTATGATTCAAAGGAGTAAACTAACTTTACTGTGTTCTATTTTTGTTGTTGTTGTTGACTTTCTTTGTTCTAAATCAATAATCAATTGTCCCTATGCCATTTGTTTCCCCCTTTATGTGAAATTCTTCTTTATTAAAAGAAGACCATTAAGGATCAATTTCCAGATTCTGTATTGGGTTCTAATGAGCTGTTGTCTGTCCTGGCACTGTGTCACACAGGTTAATTAGAATAGATATGTAGTATATTTTTAAATCTGATGGAGTCTTTTTCACCTTTAAAATTCTATTGGCTATTTTTCTGTATTTATTCATCTATAGAAATTTGGAGTGTTTGTGTGTGCCGTAAAATAGTCAATTGTTATCTTCATTGTTTAAGCAAATATTAATAGATGCAAACAGGGATGACTGCATTTCAAGAGAAAATCATAGGCTTTTTTTTTTTTTAACAGCTGATACAAAGGTAAGCTTTAAAAGTTTTCCCAAAAATGTATTGGTTAACACTCTTAAAAATGTCTTTTAAAGACACTGGTGGAGGAAGGGGTGAATTAGGTGAAGGGGATTAAGAGGTACAAACTTCCAGTTATAAAATAAATAAGTCATGAGAGTGTAATATACAGCATGGGGAATATAGTCAATAATATTGTAATAACTTTGTATGGTGACAGATGGTAACAGACTTACCATGGTGATCACTTCATAATGTATAAAAATACTGAATCACTATGTTGTATATCTGAAACAAATACAATATTATAAGTCAATTATAGTTCAATGTTTTAGAAAATTAAATTTCTGGATGAGGAAAAATTAAATATTCATATCACTAAGACAAATATTCTTTGCTTAAGTATTCTTTAAAACTTGGCAGTAAAGCAAATGTCTCCTGTGATTTTTCCATCAATGTATATTACATCATTAGAATTGTATTCCAGTAGAGAAATATTTAGACTCTGAGACATAAAAATAATACTTATGATTTCTTAAGTTGTTTTCAGTATTTCTTTTAAAAGGTGAAAGGTTTGGTAAATACTGCTTAGTCTTATCAAAATAATACAAACATATGATAATGTTTTACATTTAGAAAATTGCTCATGTAGGAGATGGTGGTGCCTTTAGTCTCAGCCACCCTTGGAAGGAATAAACATGCCATGGATCATGACCTGGCCATTTAAATGCAACCCAGATAGAGAGCAGCTCACTTATTAGCCTTTCTCATTAGTGCCAGATGTTATCTCCTTATATCAAGTAAGCCTTCCCTTCAAAATCAAAACCTGTTAACTGCCTGTGATTTAGAGTGGTTCATAAAAGGGTTGAGACAGCCCTGCTTCTTCTGCCCAGGCACCTCTTCATCCAGTGATGATCTCCCACACAGTGATGTATCAGTCAACACTGGGAGGATGCATTCCTATACACAGCTTCCTTTGCTTCTGTATCTCTGTAGAGAGTCACAAAAAGCTGGTAACATTGGTTGCCTCTGGGAGGGAAATCAGATGACTGGGGCAGGCATGGTAGGGGAGACTTCACTATTCACCCTTACGAACCTTTTGAATTTTTGAAACATAAGAATTTATTACCTAGTCAAGAAAAAAATATTTAAGAGAAAAAAATGAAGGATCTATTTCCGAAGTCCTCTTTCTGTAAATGAGGAGTCCATCATGGTGGCTTTTCATGAAGAGTGTGCTGGCAGTAATACTGTGGTATTACTGCTGTTCCTGTACCAAGAAGACACCTCTGAAAACTCCATCCTGGAGTACGTTCTCTGCATGTTTGACCTGAAGAGGGATTGTAGTGATCCACTCCTTCATCTAATTCCCCCAGTTTCTCCGGATGGCTCTTGGAATTGGAATGCATTCTAGGGTCATGTGAGAAACATGAGGATAAGTGGTCCCCATAAGAATTCATCCTTTGGCCTGCAAGGTACCAGCATTTAACCTCTGTTTTTTAGAACACTTGCTGCCTGTCCAGACACATACTGTTTTTTTCTCCCCCTCAGCAGCTGCCCACCCAGCCTACTGTTCAAAACCCAGAAGACCGTTTGAAGGGCACTGTACTATTAAATGGGGCCATTGCATTCTGGAAACAGATCACCATGGCAAAGAAAACCCACTTCCCTTTCCATAGTAAATGGGATTTCTACAATTTAAAATAATTCTCTAAATTATAAAGACATGTAAATTGTTTGAAAAAAATTTACGTAAAAACTAAACTTTAAAATGGTTACAGCTGAATGGTAGGATCTATGGTTAGTTATAACCTTTGGATATTTTCTGATTTCCAAATTTTTTAAAATGTCAACATGTATCAGATTTATAATCAAGAGAGAATATTGCTTTTAAAAACAAACTTTGAATTTTGTAAATAAGAACATTTTTAGAGTATGCAAAGTAGCATTTTCATATATATAATTTTATTAGCTTTTAAATTGTTTGGTTATTATATTAAGCAAAGGATCATTAAATTGACAACTCTTCGAGTCAGAACGGACCTCGAGAGATTATTGGCATAATGTTAAGTGGAAAAATCCAGATACTGACTAAAGGTGTGTGTGTATGTGTATGTGTGTGTGTGTGTGTGTGTGTGTATGTATATATGTATATGCATATATATGGCAGTGGTTTATTTTAAAATTCAGATGCATAGAAGAAAAATAAGAAACAATGTTAAAACACTCAGCCTTAAAAAATAATGAAATATTGCCACTTGTAGCAACGTGGATGGACCTACAGAATATCATACTAAGCAAAGTAAATCAGAGAAAGACACATATTATACGATATCACTTAGGTATGGAATCTAAAAAATAATACACCTGAATCTATATACAAAACAGAAACAGACTCACAGACATAGGAAATAAACTTATGGTTACCAAAGGGAAAACGGAGGGTGGGAGGGATAAATTAGGAGTATGGGATTAACAGATACAAACTACTATACATAAAATACATAAGCAACAAGGATTTACTGTATAACATACAGAACTATATTCAATATCTTGTAATAACCTATAATGGCAAATAATCTGAAAATATATATATATATAACTGAATCACTTTGCTGTATACCTGAAACTCCAACAATATTATAAATCAACGGTACTTCAATGTAAATAAAGAAATAAATAAATGCAAATAATGCCAAACCTTATAAAAAAAACTCTTAATGATTTGTTATAGAGAGAGCCTATAGGTGTTTTTCTTCCTTTTCTCTACCTTTCAAATTTCCTAATGTAGCCATGTTGAGGGGTGTGTGTGTGTGTGTATTTAAAGAAATTTTCTCATTCTGTGCCACCTTAAGTTATTACTATCCAATGTGGATTTACAGATAAATTAAACCACTCTTTGAGCTTCTAGATAGGTTTATCAAAATGTGACATGGCAGGAACTACACCTGTGACCTCAATAAACATTAATTCAGGGCCCCTCTACAGAGAAATGAGAAGGCTGCTTCTGCATACTCATTTCTCTCTTGGGTGCTCCATTTATTTAATACCTGGACAGAAACTAAAAAGAATTGCAAAATGCTGCTTCGACCACCAGAGTTGCAAGCATGGTTGCCTATTCAGACTAACAAAATCCCATCCAGCATGTCATCTGACTCCGGTTGAACAAGGAACAGTGGTTTAGGAGAGTCTCCTCATTTGTTTAACATAAGTGTATGTGCCATGACCATTAAACTCTTTTAAATAAAGGGGAAATGAATTATTCAGGATTTCTTTATATATCAATTAGGAAATTATAGGAAAGTAATATTTTACACTTTGTGAGTAATTTCATATTTTATATTATCTGAATGAATTTACAGGAAGGTGAGGACATTTTTATATATTAATTTGTAGAGGAACTGTTATGGAAAATAACTATCTTTACCTGAATTCCATGACTTAAAATTAGCTTTTTCCTCCTATTCACTCCCTCTCAACAGTATGAAAATAAGAAAGATTTATTGCAGTTTTAACAAGAAGAAGAAAATATAGATAACTTCAAATTTGAGTTGCAGGAAAGTTCTGAAAAAAGGGTGGACGAAAAGCTTAAGTATCCTGAGAGCACAGTAAACCTATTTATTGCTTCATTAACTTGAAGCCTAAAGCCAAAACTGTCATTCTGTCAGATAGGCAAACTTCCCCCGAGGTAAAGCTGAACTTCATGTACCTTAAAATGAACGCAAACCACTGAGTAGTACCAAACTTAAGAATAATTTGCATTTTTAGGACCTTTAACCATAAAATTTAAGAGTTGATTTTGAAGATAAGATGCCTAATTTAAATAGGATATAAATGTCCTTTTCTGATTGGATAGTGCAAGAAAATATACGGCTTTTTTGACCAGATCTGGGCAGCGCATATGAAGAGAGGTTACATTTATTTATTTATTTATTTATTTATTTTAATTTTGGCTGCGCTGTCTTAGTTGCGGCACACGGGATCTTCACTGCGGCATGTGAGATCATTTAGTTGCAGCGTGCCAACTTCTTAGTTGCAGCATGCGGGCTTCTCAGTTGCAGCAAGCGGGATCTACTTCCCTGACCAGGGATCGAACCTGGGCCTCCTGCATTGGGAGCGCAGAGTCTTACCCACTGGACCAGCAGGGAAGTCCTGAGGTAGCACTTCTGACCCCCTGCAGCTTTGTCAGCATATTATTGCAGTCACAGTATTGGTTAGTCATCTTCTTTTCTTCACCATCGTAGAAGCTGTGCTGATGATGGCCTGACCTTCCAACAAAATCCAGTCTGTGAACTCTTTCTCTAATGGATCCATGGGCAAATAGTAGCAAATTGTAGTGTCCTGCTAATTTTTGGAAATTAAAAGCAGGACACTTTCCAGGAAAATGCTTGGCTTTAAAAGGTTCTAAATCTCTCCTGGTCCATTGGCTACTTTGTTGCCCAATCTGATTTTTTTTTTTTTTTTGCGGTAGGCGGGCCTCTCACTGTTGTGGCCTCTCCCGTTGTGGAGCACAGGCTCCGGACGCGCAGGCTCAGCGGCCATGGCTCACGGGCCCAGCCGCTCCACGGCATGTGGGATCTTCCCGGACTGGGGCACGAACCCATGTCCCCTGCGTAGGCAGGCGGACTCTCAACCACCGTGCCACCAGGGAAGCCCAAGCAGCATCTTTTGTAGAGGGGCTGTCTCTGCTTTCCCATGTGACGTTTATAATGGTATTCTGTTCTGACAGTAACTTAGAACAGTAATTCAGTTGGGGATGCTAGAGCTGCCTTTGATCATAAACATTGCTGTAACTTATTCATTTCACTGAATGCAGAGTTGTGTTTCTCTACTGTCTCACAGAGTTTCTGTTTCATATTTCAGGTTTCATCGTCCATAATGAAGTGCGGGACTCTTTGGAAACAGACTGATCATCTTTGGGGGAATCCTCGCTTCCTGAAAACCTGATATTGCACTGGGATTTGAATGTGTGTGTTTCCGTTTAACTTGTGGTGAAGGAAGCGTGTGGAACGTGCTCCCCACCTATACAGCCCGGATAGGCCAACAAGCAAAGGGAAGGGTGCAGCGACTCTGCTGTCCAGCATGTGGATTGATGGTAAGGGGATACCATGGTTACACCACTTATTCTTCATCAGGAGTTTTAATCAAAGAAGATGAGCAGAAGACAATCGCTGGTTCCCTGTTGCCAGAAAGCCACATTTAAGAGTGCAAGTTAAAGAAGAATGGGGAATGGAATTTCTGAGCACTGGAGAGGGGTGGGGGGTTGAAAATCAGAAAGCAAGAGAAGTACTTCATTATGTTAATGAAAAGAAGAAATGGAAGCATAAAGGTATTTTCAAAGTAGGCTTTTGGTAGTTGAGAACTTATTAAGGGATTTGGGAGTTTAATCACCCAAGGTGGATTTCCTAAAGACCTGACCCTAGAAGAATATTCTTGTTTCATCATTATATTGGTACAGTGTTGTACCATTATTTTTTTGTTGTGCCAGTGAATTCAGTTGCCAGAAATAAGTCTGAGTGTTTTCATGTATCTTTTTCTTAAATGCGAGAGGCTTTTACTGACTCTTAATAAGCATGCTTACCCAAATTTTGTTGCATGCTTTAAGTAGCATAGCTATACATACTTTACATTTTTTTTTAATACTCCTCACCTAATGTACCAACCTTCCACGAGGATTATAGGACTGGGAATAAAGTCAGACGTAATTATTCGACCTTATAAATCTGTAGCAGGCTTTAGAAATAAATCTTTTGGTCTTTCCCTAGCTTGATTATCTCCAATGTTGAAACCATCGTACTTGATCTAAAGAAGATAATATCGACAATCATGGCACCTTTTTAAAAAGTCTGAATCCAAAGTTAAAACTTAAGCAAAATGCAAGTTTTCTGCCAGCAGTTAGCTCTGAATAGGAATGAAAAGAACTACTTATTTTCCATGCTGCATTAAGTTGGATTGCTGCTATTAAAAAAATTAAGCACATGGATTAAAAAAATACTCACCCAAAGACTTAAAAGAACAGAAAATTTCTGCTAAGTTGTAAGTGAGGAGAACCTCATTTGATATTTTAAGAGTCTGCAGATTGCATCCATAAATATAGCATTGACTTTCAGTGCAAAATAATCAGTGAGATTAAAGTTATGGAAGATTTCCCTATGAGCCTACAGTCAATATCGTTTACATTAAGAAGTCCTCTATTGTCATCTTACGGTTTTCCATGGAGTCACAGGCATAGTATGGCTTCTGCTCCCAAGTACATATGACCATATGTAAATACCACCTTGCATTTAATTGTTCTTTCATGATTGTTTTGTGCCCCTTTTATTAAAAACACATGAGATGTATAACAACAAGACAAGACCTAAATAGACTTTATTTTATTCTCAGAGTTTGGACTAGGATTTTCTGAAATGATTCTGGTGCATTATATGGAAAACTCTAATTTTCTATTTCAACCAAAAGGCAAACATTTAATCTGGTGGACAAATTTGGATCCTGCCATTCATTTACATTTTAAAGAAGCACTTAAAATTGGATGATTTTGCTTCAAAAATAAAAAAAAATTTAGTCCCACTTAGCCTATTACAAAAAGCCAGGACCATTTTATAACTAAGAAAAGTAGCCAGCGTTGCTGGCACCTCTTGCTGTACTCAGCTATATGCATTAATAAAATAAACCTAGAATTCTACACTATTGTAATTTCCTTGATAGGGTAAGACATATTTTTGTTTTGAAAAACTTTTTCTGCATGCCCAAGTGTCTTTCTCTGGCTGAAGTTTTATCCATTTCATAGTGTTTAAATCCAGCCATAGATATTAACTATGTTCCAGTTTTTTGCTGAAGCCATGTTTTTCCTTATGATATTGTTTTATTGTCATTTTAGTGTCTTGGGAAAAATACCAAGGAATGTAGTGTTATTTTAATTTTCTATACTTATAATCTTAGAACATCATTTTAATTTCTAATCACAAGGCCCCTATAAAAATGGTAAATATAAGACATTTATCACTGTTTTATCACTCAAGATACATATCATAGAGAGTCTCTATTTGGTTGATAAAAGGAACCATTTTTTTCCCACTAGCAGTACATGTGATACAGTTTTTTTATTCCCTACACTGAGATGCACTCGGTACAGAAATGAAACTCTGGTCCCTCAATATATTGTTTTCCTTGTATGATATGTCAGATTTATGAACTACCCATACTTTTTCTTCTAATGATTGACATGTTTAGGGAAAAGTTTAAAAGTCAAAAAAATTAACCAATAATAGTTTAATTTTTAAGAATTGGAACCACAAATTATTTCATTAGAATGATCCTTTAAATAAAAAGCTATGGAAAGAATGGAAGGATTATGAGCTAAGCTATATTTTGCAGAATGAAGCTCTGTTTTAATAGATAATTTTACTTTTTTTTAATGTCTTTCTTGGACTATAATTGCTTTACCATGTTGTGTTAGTTTCTGCTGTATAACAAACAAAATGAATCAGCTATACGTATCCATACATTCCCATATCCCCAGTAGCTAGTTTTAAAAGGCAGAAACACTGCATATCCATCTCAGCAGCCCATCTTGCCTGGCAGCCCTAAAAGGGTACAAAGATGTGGACCACCCTCCATAGAATTATGTATCTGCCTAATGCCAGCATTTCTGCAGTCCAACCGATAAGCTACGGTTCTATAAAAATACATGTTTATGTGAATTGGGTTGTTGTAATACAACACCAGGATTTTTCCTATTTAAAGTGCAACATTAGGCTGACGTAGAAGAAGTGAGTGGTTTTCCTGGGTCCCTAAGATGTGATTAAGGAAGAGAACAAATCCATCTCCAGAAAGGTCACAGGCAGGAAAAAACTAGACAGACTGTAAAAACCAAAGTGACCATTTCCATCTTTCTTAGAATGGAGAAAAAGAACAGTAACAGTAAGGTAGTAAGAAGATGCCATTAGCTTTATCAGCATCTTCATGGTCATTACCAATTAGGCTGACAAAACTAGTTCTCCAGTGATTAGTGTTAATTTTTGGCAGCCCTGCCTGATAATTTCCTATGGTGTGAAATGTCTAGCATTTTCTTTTTGTTCAATATAATTTACCTTTATGATAATTCCTAAAATTATTTAGATGAAATCTATAATATTCAGAGAACTATTTTGGGTATTTGAACAGCTGTTTTAAATGGAGAAAAAAGCACACTCGTCTATCTGATTTACCCAGAAAAACCGACCTTCTGGTTTCATTTTCATATCCTTTATTAGCATAATGATTGTAATCACTTATCTTTCTCTTATGTTAGTAAATATATTGTTTGTAGAAAGTTCTAAAATGTCAGTGAAAATCTTTTTAAGGAAGTAGAGGAATCGAATACACCCTTGAATAATCATCGAATATTGAAAATGAGAGATAAGTCCTTAAAACCCATAACTCAGGTTTTACAACCTGCAGTTAATTCAGTGCTGCATTGGCACTTAAAAAAAATACAGTAACTTACACTTAAAAGAGAGAAAAATCTGCATCAACATTGCATATCCTAATGTGTACCACATTTTAACACAAAAACAGGCATTGTATTTATACTTAATAGAGTCAGACACAACTTTCACAAATTATACTGTATTCACAATAGAAAAAAGCAACCTTGTCTATCACATAGTAGTATCTCCACATTTAAACAGTGAAAGCTCTTCAAAAATGTCATATTATTTCTTTAATTCATCCCAGCAGCACATTTCACACAGAGTGAGAAATCATTCTCAGAATAGGTGAGATGGAATCAAGCTAGTACAAGATACATCAATTTATGTCATTTCATCGGTATGGTAGCTTAAACATTCCTAGATCCAATTATATTATTAAGCCTAATCTTACTAGTGGAAGTATATACTTTGAGACAATAATTAATTTCTTCACATTGTCAGAGAATGTTATGAGCACTAAGGAACCACTAAGATGCAATTTATTTACAAAGTTTTCCCTTGGCCACTTGAACTGGCTGATCTTCCACTATTGGGCATTTGAGTATATGTCACATTGTTTTACTTGCCAAAGCAGAATGAAATTTTGGAGCTGAAATATGTCCTAGACGGGAATGCAACAGCAAAAGTAATCATCAAATTAATAGGACCATCTTTCTGAGAGAAAGCACATCTCCAAATAGTTGACACGCAAGATTCAAAGAGCAGCATGAGGCGTTATTATAATTTGGCAGTGATCAAAGTGTGGTAGGACAAGGGTAGAATACTCCCAACCCATTCTCATTTTCACTTTCCACTTACTTTTTGTAATCATTAAGCTTAAGCTCTTTATGGAAATGCAAACCACCATTAACATTTCTAGAAAACAACTGAAAAAATAGCCCACTTATGCTTTTTCAAAGACAGGTTTATCCCAAATTAAGAAATCCTATTGTACACGCTGTAAGATTTCTGGCAAAAAGAGAGAATCCTATAGCAGCTATTCCCACCAAAAGCCAGCCCTATAGGCAAGGGTCATTTTTAGCTAGGCTAGGATTTACTGCACAGAAAAATGTCATTTAGGTTTTCACATTGCTAGCACAGCTGTGCATATGAGCAAAGCACTCCATCAGTGTTTCTCAGTGGGGTACTGTTGGCATTTGGAGCTGGGCAATTCTTTTTGTACAGAAATGTCCCACACATTGCAAGATGTTTACTCTCCCAGGCCCCTGCTGCCTAAATGCCAGTTGTATGCCCAGCCATTGTAAATACGAAAAGTAAAAAGCGCTCCCCCATGTTCAGATGCCCTCCTGGGAGGGCAGTACCTCCTCCCTTAAATGCCACTGTCTACTGCAATTTGAGGACACAGGAAAAAGTGTCTATCTCAAAACATCATCTTGACTCCCTTGCATTTCTTTGGGCCCTGAGTAGTTTCCTCCCCCATCATCTTTCTAGCCTTTTGTTTCTAGCCTTCTGATGCAGCTTTAGTTTACCAGTTCTTCAGGGAGGAGGTTATTGGGTAGCCTAGGCAGTTCCGACAGGCATAGTCCCTTGATTAGTCCCTGTATGTACTTAAAGGGGAGATTTCACATGAAGTACACTTTTTTTTTTTTTTTTTTTTGCCTCACAATTTTACCTCAGAACTACACTGTTGGTCATAATCCTTGTCAGTGTCATGAGGATCATTGCATGGCTTAACCACAAACACGACAGCTAACAATCCACATAAACAAAACTCTTGGTCTATGAAAATCACCATTAGATTTCACCTGGTAAGCTGCATCCCATGAGTTCCCAAACAATTGCCTCTTTATCCTATTAAAGAAGCATTTAATCCACATGCACATGCTTGAATTCCCCCCTGCATAAATATAGCCATGCAGTTCAACTTTTCTTAGATTTGTAAATTATGAAGGAAACATGGGTGAGCTGTGGATTGCTTGCATATTGTTCAGACTTCAACGATGATCATACACAAAATGAGTTTTACCTAGGTGAAACATTATACTATACTGACAGTACATAAACATACTTACTCCTTTCGTAACTTTTTATCTCCAAAACTGAATGGTAAATATGTCTCGAAATTATTTGGATGTATTGTGGCTAACAGATCGAATGAAGTTATAGCCACTATAAGTTTTTTCAATACTAAAATTTCTAAATATCTTTTCTGAAGCAGAGTGACTCAGTCAGTAAAGGTGATTATATTGTGAATTTTTAGATGGTGCTTAAGAATTCTTGTGAAATACTTTTTTTTTTTTTTAAAGAATAAATTGAAGGGAGTAAATGAGGCAGAATGCCACTCCACCCTCAGGTCAATTTTGTGGTATGTTAAAATGCCAATGATATTTGTGCCACTTGCCAATTTAGGGGGCTTTTCCCTTACTGGATGTTTTGTTATAGTCTGACTATGTATTACATTGCTTAGAGAACTTCCACAGGAAATCGCCATGACAATGCTAACTCGCATTCGAAAACAACCTGAATGAATCTAGGGTCAAACCACTTTCATCACTAAAAATATAGGCACTAATTTTTATTTTTATTTTTTAAAATATTTCTTCTGTGGCTTAGAAATGTGCCAACGTGTTCAAAACATTCTGCACCAATTTCACCAGATTTAGTACCTACTAAAAACTCAAACTAGTCATCTTTTTTCTGTGTAACAGTGATTTTTATATAGAGAACTATATGCATTATTTCGTTATTTCAAGCTTTGGTGAAAGTGATAAGATTGGTAAGCTGTGATCGTTATCAGACTGAATGATTTCTAATTTCCAGTGAGTGATCTAACCCTACATATTACACAGGTATAGTATCTGTGACTATAAATAACTGGAACTGTGTACTGATTACATGACAGTTTCTCTTTTTTTGTTGTTGTTCTTAAACCTGTACTGTATTATAGTATGTGGGTATAAATATCTACAAGTATACACACATATGTATATGTAATTCCACTATTGTAACCTGAAAGACTATGTATTATCTTTTTTATTCCGTATTGGTGTTTGTGTTATTTAAAAAGCAAAATTATGCTCTATGTAGTTGTATAATATTGTAGGATACTTTGCTGTGCACAATTCCAAGTGCCTTAGAACATTGTTTAGCTTTCTTAAGTATATATAAATGCATATATGTATAAAATTGGGAAAAGTTACCTCAATAAAATCATTGGGAAATTCCCAGCTTCAGTTTGTCCAATTTCTGTTGTATTCAGACAGTGCTCGGTATTTTTAAATTAACAGCTCACAGAGTCCTCACCTGTAAAGCAAGAATAAGACAGCTTTTCTAATTGCCTGTAATTTCAACTCTTCCTGACTTAAAATTTTTTGTATTTAAGTCCTCGTGGTTTGTACTTTTAATTTAAAATATCTGTCTAAAGAATTACTGCTTTAAACAGCGATTTACAGTTTATTTTAAAAACTTCCTGTCTTTTTATATCTGAGGAGATTTGCTATTGCTGTTTTCATTCACATTATAATGTGTGAAAATAAGATAGTCCCTTTAGAGTTTCTAATATAGAAAATAAACAAACTTCCTCATTATGCCTACTATTTAATGTATTACAAACAAGGAGAGAGCTTGGGAACATATTTTGACCAGAAAAGGAATTGCAATATACTTTTCATGTTTTTCAGCAGTGGTTACAAATTGTACATGAGCCTCCCTCAACTCCAGGACAAGGGCAAAAGTATGAGTGGAAAGTTGAAAAGCAATTTTGTGTACCTTTATCCTGGAGGGAAGACCTGTAAGAGAGAAGATTGGGACCAAAAAGTAGAATAGGCTTGAAAATTGGCCCCATGTTTGCCCTTAAAAATCAGCAGTACATCTCCAAGGTAGGTGTAGTAGTTCAACAACTACTTTCCACTTTTTCTCACATTCAACCAGGTTCTACATGGAAACATTACTTTCTAAAACCTAATGGAGGTAAGTAATGGACAATTTTTTCATTTTCTACAGTGCTTTGATAGCATCGGATTTATTAAACTTTATTAAATTTGACAAAACTCTTTGTGGGACCTCAGCTCAGACATGGCGTGGAGTTGCTGCCACCAGCACTGCTGTCCAGACAACCCAAGTCCTTGTTCGGTTTGTAGTTTTGAACTCTGTCCTGTAAAAAGTGGACACTAATAGTAGAACACATAAAGCTCTAGAGAAAGGTTAAGAATGTAACATTTGTGTAAAGGTTTTCTTGCTCTTTTGCTAAAAGTGGTACCATTTCTAGGTACCAAATTACATCATTCCCTCTGGTTGGAGGGAATGATGTAAACAAAGTTGTAATGTTGGAAGAGTATATACTGTATTTGGGGAAAAATTGGTTTCACTCAATTTGAGGAATAAAAGGAAAGTAGGGGCTTCACTGGTGGCGCAGTGGTTGAGAGTCTGCCTGCCAATGCAGGGGACACGGGTTCGTGCCCCGGTCTGAGAAGATCCCACATGCCGCGGAGCGGCTGAGCCCGTGAGCCAGGGCCGCTGAGCCTGCGCGTCCGGAGCCTGTGCTCCACAGCGGGAGAGGCTACAACAGTGAGAGGCCCGTGTACCGCAAAAAAAAAAGGAAAGTAATGTGGAACTGTGGTCTGTGGTGAAACTACAGAAGATATCGAGGGCTATATTAAAGCACCTGGGAGGTATTGAGTAGGCAGTGGGAACTCATTGGAAAATTCTGAATAGGAATAATATGAGAGTTGTCTTTTAGGAAGAATAATGTGGTAGCAAGATCAAGAAAGAGATTAAAATTAAGAAAGGTTGTGGTTAAGGGACTTGTCCCGAGCCTGACAGTCAGAGCAGTGGAAAGGGCCAGGTGATCTCGAACCTACTCCAGGACTGGGGCCCGAGGGTAGTTGACCTGCACCGTTGACTCAGTATAATTCAAGACTCTGCCATCTGCACGGATATTTTTAAAAGAAAAAAAAAGTTGTCTTTTCTCCCTCTAACTGTAATAAATGGTAAAATTCCAAGTCTTTAAAAAAAAAAAAATTAAGAAAGGTTGGCAAAAACTCAGGAATCAGGGACCGAGCTAAAGAGGTAACAAACTTCAACTGACTGTGGGAAAAGATTTATAGCTTAAATTTGAACTGCTGAGTATAACTGCAAGAACAATTAAGGGCAAATTCTTTCCTATGTTGAGTACTCCCTACTCCAGATTGTCTGACTTGGGCCAGCCAAGGTTAAAAGTTCATCCAGGAACACATCCTTAGGTCAACAAGTACTGAAAATGCCAGGTCTCTCCTCCCTACGGTATTTATCTAATTATGAAAAGTTAGCAACTACAGCTATATGCGGATAGACATACAGTTGGATATATGACCCTGAAAGTCAGGAAAAAGGTCTGGGCTATAGAGAGGAAGTTAAGAATCATCAACACGTATAACAGAATCTGTGGAAAAGGATAAAAATACCCCCATAGACAATGTAAATTAAGACTATGAAGAAATTACTACAATGAAATTTTAATAAACTATTTCATCACCTGACTATCTCCAAGATTGTAAAATCATTTCATTTATACATCATCTGAGTGCTTTGAACACAACCGAAACATACCAAAGAATATTCAAAATTCATTTTATAATTAGAAAGCACAGTAAGGAAAATTAATTGGGATCAATATTTCCAAAGTGTATTCACCAATGAAGTGTATGTACTTGTGACTCTTAAGAACAGGAGTCAGCAGAAAGCCAAGCAATATCAAGAGGATGTGCAGTTAAAAAGAATTTTAAAGAACATAAAATTGCTAGGGACTAGAAGCAAGTAAAAGAGTCTATGTATGTAATATAAGTGACCCAAAAGGTACCAGAAATTAAGGGAAATCAAAAGGATTAGGATTCCAGGAAGCTGACAGGTTGGGTCAAGATGCAAGCTAACAGAGAGCCATGATGTGAACGTGATGTGAGGCCAAAGCACGTGTTTGCTGACAGATCCCAGATGGTGAAGGCCCTAGTTTCAGGAGCTGGCCATTCTAAGGCAACAATGACATTAAGTGAGTAACTACACTAAGCTGGAAAGAGAACGATTGCTCACCTTCATTGAATGCTGATCACAAGCCAGGCACAGGTCCAAGCAATTCACGTGTAGTTTCTCATTTAAACCGACAACAATACTATGAGGTAAATGTTAATAATATTATCATTCCCGTTTTACATTCAGGTCAGAAAACTGAAGCTCACTTGCCCCAGGTTACACAGTAAGTGAAACAAAGGCCAGAAACCAATTTCAGCTAGTATACCTAGCATACTACTGTTATCATTCAATATTGTAGGGGGAAATTTGTGCTTCAATGGAAAATGATGCATTTTTTTAGACAAGCAAACCCATCCAATTCTGACCTTTCTTATGCCTCAGTTTTAGTGTCAGGAAAACCTGAGATAATTCAGGTAAAGTGCCAGAACGTTACTTCATTTAAACAAATATTTATTGAGTATACATGCCAGGCACTATTCTAGGTCCTGAAAACAGTAGTAAATAAAACAGATCAAAACAAAACAAAACCTGCACTCATGAAGCTTAATTATAATGAATGTGTAGCACATAGGAGTGTTACGTATCAATATTATCCCTGTTACAAAGCATTATCCCAACACAAGTTCTGTGGTCCTAAATTGTTTCTATAAGTTTTACTGTAATAAAACTATAAATATTCTATAGATTTTATAGTAATAATAGGTAGGACATAAATACACAATTCAAGATAACTCAGACATTGGAAAGACACCAGAAATTGGGAAGGGGAAATAGAAATTTGAGGAAAGGTCTGCTGATAGAACTTTGAATGCATTACTATCCTCTTTTGCCCAAGAAAAGCCATGAAAGCGCGCCAGCACCTGCCTGAAATCTTAAGCAGGTGTGCTTATAGCTTATTTGTTTAAACTACTTTCAAACGTTTGAGGAATGGCTTGAGAAAGAATAAGCATTAGTTTCCACCTTCCAAGATAAGGTATGCAAACACAAAGAGATTCTGAATATATTTTATTAGTCCAAATTCCTCTACTGTCAACAGAGTCTAGGGGGGTTTTGTTAACTGGATGTTTGAACGCAGTTCGTTAAAAATAAAATAAAGACCTGCTTAAGCCTGGTGCAGCCTAAAATAGCAAGGCCCTAGGATCTTCCGTTGCTAAGGCAACCAGCTCCGCGCCGGCCCAAAGGAGAGGGAACCTGAAACCTCGGTGACCCGGGGGGGGGTGCCCACCTTCCTTCTGTGTACACAGTTTATTTGTGTGTTGGTTTTTTTGTTTACGGTTGGGAATAGGCAGGGAATACAACTGTCGATGGGGATGCTAGATTCGTGGCTTCTGTTCTCGGTAGAGGGCGCTATATATAAAAGCAGTTCGCCTACAAACACCAACACCCCGTTTCTCGCCTCGTCGCAGCACAGACGCCCGCAACTCTCTTCCGCAGCTGATTTAATTTTGGCCAGAAAAGCCCCGCCCCCCCGGGGATGAGAACAGCCCCACCTGACAATAGCTTCTCGCGATCCTTGAGACGGCGTGAGCTTTGCGTAACTTCCGGTCGTGACCCTTCAGCCTTTCGGCGATTGGTCCGTTTCCACGGCCTGCTGCGTGACTTCCCGGCCGGTTCCTGGGGCAGCACGTGTGGAGCGGCGTGAAGACGCGGCTACGAGCTGGTCCTCAGTGGCGTTCGGGAGGTACCGTGTCACCTTCCGTCCGACTAGGAGAGAGCCGTCGCCCCTCTTTGGGGTGAGCGACGCGCGGCTACAAGCATGGTGAGCAAGCCTCCCTTTCTCGGGGGTGGGGCGCTTTGGTTTGGCAGAGACCGGGTTCCTCTGGCGCCAGTGGCTACTGCGGCCTGGAACTGGGAGGGCTGGTCCGAAGGTGAAGACAGGCGGCTTGTGGCCCAGTGCCCCGGTTTGGGTTACCCTTACCACCCCGGGCATAGTTTGCAGTTTAGAGTGGGTCTCCCGCGGCCAAGCGTTCCTGGGGAGTAGAGAGAAGAGAATGGCCTACTCTTTACCATCCCGCCGTCCCGAGAGGCCTAAAAACCTGTGACATGGGAAACAGACGCGCCACCCAGTGCTTCATGGGGTCGAGCAGAGAGGGAGTTGCTAGTCTCTCCAGACATTGGAATGGCAGGTGTCTGCCCTATCTGTTTGCTCTGGGGAAAAGGAGGGTCTAAGGTTGGGCCCGAAGCAAGGCGGCTTACTCAACTGGAATGATGCTTTCTCAGTTCAGAAAAT